CCTGAGCGGCACCGCTCTGCGCCCGCCAACGGCCTCGAGAGGCGGAGGCTCGCGCGGTTCCCTCAGAGCAGCTCCCCGGCCCGCGGCAGCAGCCACAACATAGAGGTGGCGAGGGGAGGAGGAGCGAGCGCACGTCCGCCTGCCGCGCGCTCCACTCACGGCGCCGCCGCCGCCGCCATCTTATGCGAGGCGGGGGGGGGCGCTCTGCCGCTATTTACCCGTTCCGCCCCCCGGTCGGCCCAGCTGGCGGAGCCGCGCTGTACACCGGGAGCTGTAGTCTCCCCGGCGGAGTCCGAGGCCGCCGCTGCGTGCGGCATGCTGGGAGTTGTAGTCCACCGTGCCGGCGGTTCCCCTCCCGCCGGCTCGTAGCCGCCATCTTGGTCTCGTCTTTCCCGTAGCGCTGGGTTTGTTCTCTGATAAGGTGGGGTATTCCGCTCCCTCCCCGAACGTGGGGCAGCAGTGCTGCCTGGACTGGTAGGAGCCGATCGAAAAGCGGCTGCCTGAGCTATCAGGTAGCCCGGTCCCTTGTTTTTACGCGCCTGCTGTTGTAGCTCAGGGCACCAGGTAGTACGCGGTGTTTTTTTAGAGCTCTGACTGGGATGTGTAACCGTGTTTGCGGGGGTAGAACCGTTTACAGAAGAAAGATGTGCCAGCTGACTGCTGTACAGCGCACGAGCAGATACAGCGGGTTGGAATGGACGTACGGTTTGTGCGGGCTCGCGTGTTTTTGCTTAATTCTCGGGGGGAAGAAGACGTCAAAAGGTTTGGGTGAGGGAAGGCTTAGCTTTGCAGTGCATGCTGCTGTTTGTATTAGAGGAATGATGCTCTGAAATCTGATTTTCTCTGACTGCCTCTCTGTGACAAACCATGGTGTGATTTTTCCCATGCGATGCTGCTTGAGAAATTACTTTTTTTTTTTTTTTTTTTTTTTTTAAATTGAAGAGCCTTTATGACAGTCCTACGTACATATGCGTATTATCCATATATGAGATAGGTAAACTTTTAGTAACATGAATACCATCTCAAAGTCTTTTGTATGAAGATATCTGCACTGTAATTATAAATTCTCTGTACTGAGTGTTAAAGCAGCACATCGCTGTCCTACACAACTGGAAATAAAGGGTGGTCACAGAAATTTTCTACTTCTCTCTGAGATGCATGCTTTCTGTCAGGGCTATTGTGGGTACTGTTTTTGACAACTTTCAGACTTAGGAAAAGCTGTTGAGAAATTAGGCCCTTTGCTTCATCTGCTATTTAGAAAGAAGTTATGCTATTTTTGCTTTGTATCTGTTGCGATGTACTGCATTTCTTAAGCAGGGTGGCTGACTTTTATATGTACTGATATGTGAAAGAATAATTTTTGGTTCTTCTTTGCAGCACATTTATGAAGTTAAATGGCACCACTTTTAACATCAGATTCTTTTCCCCCATCAAGTTCTGAATGAATTTCTTTTTTCTATTCTGATCTGAAAGCAGGGAGTGAACAGACATGTCTGGGCAAAGCTTTTGGCAATGATGGTGATGTGTGCTTAGCCATGCACCTTCACTTTCTTTCTAGGATTGACCTCTTGGTTGCAGTTGCTGTTACAGATCAAGAACTGCTGAACTGTAAGGGTTGTAAGGGATCTCTGTAAGAGATCATCCTATTCAGCCCCTTGCTAAAGCAGCTTCCCTACAGCAGGTTGTGCAGGAGAGCGCCCAGGGGGCTTTTGAATATTTCTGGAGAAGGAGACTCCATAACATCTCTTGGTAGCTTGTTCCACTGCTCCCTCACCATCACAATAAAGGAGTTTTTCTCCTATTTGGATGGAACTTCTGTTCCAGTTTGTGTCCCTTGTCCTGTTGCTGGGCACTGTTAAAAAGAGTGGCCACATCCACTTGTCTCTTGCTCTTTAGATATCTATTATCACTGATAAGATCCTCTCTCAGTCTTGTCTTCTCCAGGCTGAACAGTCTCTGGTTTCTCAGCCTTTCCACATAGGGAAGATGCTCCAGGCTCCTAATCATCATAATGAAATTATCTTCTTGTTTTTTTCTCCATTTATATCTGCCACAACCTCCTGGAGTGTCTTATTTTTTACCTTTATTTCATTAGTTTTTGTTCTTTAATCATGTGTTGAGAATGTGAATAACCTAAATTAAATTAGCTCTTCTCTGATATTCTAACCACCCTTTTGGTATATTACTCTTTGCCTATTACTTTTAGTGAGACCAAGTCACATCTACATTTCTGTGGTGCAATGGGAGTAGATATTCAAGGGAAAGATTTGGCACTGAGGACCTTAAGTTCATCCTGTATGTATTTTAAGAGGTTCTTCTTCTTACTAGCTCTAGTCTGGTCCCATGGCAGAATGTCCATTAGAAGATGGAATATGTCAAGCAATTAGTCTTATTGTTTAATTTATGAAGAATCTGATTTGTATGCTCCAACTCCAACCTGTCATACAAAGCCGTGTTAAGTGAAGATGATCTATCTAATAGGCTGCTGTAGACCACACATTCATCTTTACCTCTTCCTGTGTCTTCTTCATAGAATCACAGAATCAAAGAATGGTTTGGGTTGGAGGCGACCTTTAGTATCATCTAGTTCCATCCCCTTGTTATAGGCAGGGACACCTCCCTCTAGACCAGGATGCTCAAAGCCCCATCCAGCCTGGCCTTGAATGCTTCCAGGGAGGAGGTATCCACAACCTTTTTGGGCAGCCTTCTTCAATGGGCATTTATTTTGTGCTTGATTACTGTAATCATAATTTCACCACAAACCCTTGTATCCAGTCTGTACTCCTCATTAGTTAAAAATTGTAAGGACTCTACATTTCTGAAGATACTAGTCATAAGCATCACTAAATGAATAATTTTATGAATACCCAATTTTTCTTATTTTTATGCTTAATTTCCAGTGTTGTTATACTTTCAGCTGTACTGTCTTGATTGGTTGTTAGAAAAGCACATTAATCTTTAGTGTATAAATATTTTCTAGTATGTTCATGCTCATAGCTTAAGTTTAGGATTATTTTTCTTAAGGGATTCTTGAAGGAGCTTTAATTAAACATGACCATATTGCCTAGTAGCATAGGGTCTTGCGTATAAAAAATTCCTTCATTATTTTCCTTTTGGCTTAAAGTAATCAAGCATTTTTTCAGTACTTTAGAAATTCAGGGAAACCTTGCTTAGAAACTCGAGGTGAATGTCTTTCAGTTTAGAATAACTTGTGAAACTGAGTAGAGGCAAGAGAAGATACCTTAGTTCTTTGTCTTTGGAATAAACTCTGAAGTTCTAAAGTCATGGGATCTTCTGAACAGAGCCATAGAGGAGCTGAAAGCAGGATTTGCAGCACTATTTTGCCTGCAGAAAATTTATCATAAGTAGGTAATCCACTTGTTTCATTTTAGTTGGCTGTTTGTGTAAGGGAAGAATTATCCAAGTAGCTTAATGAATGGCATAACATACATAGTTTGACATCTTCCTTTCACGTAGCAGGCAGTCTCTTACCTGGTTGTTTTGCAGCGTGAATTTTCTTACTGCAGGCTTGGATTGTCTGTAATTTGTAAGTTGATGATTTCAGAAAAGACATGATTCTAGGATTCTGCTTCTAGAAAGCTTGTTCTGAGTATTTGGTTAGGATATAAGTTTTCAGAGAATGCTGGGACAGCTGCTACCTGAAAAATAGTCCCATTTGGCTGTCTCAGCATAAGCACTTGGAATTTTAATCAGCTTTTCTAGAAAAATAACATACTATTATCCATTGAGACAGAATAGCGAAATGGTAGTTTTGAACATTGCTAGTAGGGAACCCAGGTAACTAATGTTGTGTATGCTCACATACTGAGAATACAATTGCACAGTTCTTCCTGCCAGTTCTATTATTTCGAATCTCTGCAGGATTAAAACTGACATGAGTCCTCTTTCTGGGGTCTGCTCAGTAACCATCACCCCCAGTGGCTGAAGAGAATTGAGCTGATCGTTCAGAAGGACAGTCTGATGTGCTTGCTTGCACGTGTCTTTGTTGGTGGCTTCTTCTGCTGAGAAGCAAAGGCTTTCAAAGTGCAGGTGATATTTAAATCATTATCCAGGGAATGTGTTTTTACAAGGAAATAAGAATTAAGGAGCTTGTTAAATTTGACCCTGTCACCCGGAATGTTTCATTGCCAAATGAATACTCAGTAAAGAGAGGTGCAGCAAAACTTTTCTTGATGGAAAAGATGTGATGCAAATGTTCCTGTTTAGGGTGCAATTCTTAGCTCACCCAAATAATAACAAAGTCAGGTAGAATGAAATCAAATGCACTATTGGGGTATAACCTTTTAAACATCAGGGACGTTAAAAATATCCTTGTAGTACTGAGTCTTTCTAGTTTGAGCATATGCTTGTTCTTGTCTTACAGATTCAAGAAATAAAGCAAAGTGTTTGTTGGTAACACATTTTTCACGCGGCTTGGCTATATCGATGCAATAATTCCTGTACCCAGGCTGGTTAGCTGCGGTTTAGTTCTTTAGTAGTGGGTGCTGCCTCCAAACACTTACATGCAGAGCCTAGGTAAAGATATTTCTGTACAGGAAGTGGAATAAGAAGTGTAGCTGCATGGCCACCTGTTCTATCTTAATTAGCATTTGGGGAAAAATCAAAGTGTTGTTGATTTAAAATGTTGATTTGAGTGAATTGTGGTCTTACTGAGAAGGTTTCTATTTATTACTTATAGATCAGCTTTGTTCTGAGGTGGCCAGTGATGTGGTTTCCAGCAGTAATAATTTCCAGTCTAAGGAAGGCTGTCCAAGGTTTGAGTTTGAGAGTAACTCTTGAATCAGTCTGTTTGGCTTGTTTGTTCTGCATTCTTTTTTCAGATTCTTCAGATTCTTCAATTCTTTTGTGTTCTTTTGTATTCTATTGTCAAAACAGTTTTCATGAGTATTAAAATATGTAAAAAAAAAAGAGAAGGTGAGGCAATTGAACTTTTATAATTTGATTTCGTGTATAACTTGCTACTATACATTAGTATATTCTGTATTTTACAATTATATACATTTTTGCAAAAAAGTGAATGAGTTTTCCTAAGTTGGAACAGTAACTGCTAATTAAGAGTATCCATTTCGTTACCCTGTATGAATAGAGGAGGTTTCTAGCAACATTAAGCTTCAATTCCATCTTCAGTTGAAGTGGAAAGTAAATGCCAAAGGTGTTGTCTGTGACATTTATATTTTTCTCACTAGGCAGGGACACAAGTGTTTGTCTTTTGAGCATAGTGCAGTTCATACTACACTGCACTTGGTCTTAGTAAGAAGGCTGTAAAGCGATCCTTTATGGTCAGAATTGTATGAACTAAGTTATTCATCTCAGTTAGCTGTTTACTGTGCGTTCAGTGCTCTTCACAAGACTTCTATTAACATTTTGACCTTGTCACAGAAATTAAAGATAGTATTTATTTTCTTCTAATACAGTCTGTGTCCAGTGTAAGGGCTCACAAAGTTAGTCCATCCCCTGTTCTCCATGTTTATATGTAGAGATATGTCAAAATGTCATCATTTTGTTTTTTCCTTTCTAAAATAAAATTAGAAGAGCTTGAGGAAATATCCAAAACATCTTAATCAAAAGAAAGTAGGAAATTTTTTTTGGACTATAATAAATGAGGCATCAGATTTTCATGAAATGTTGCTATTGCAACTTCAGCATATGTATATTTTTACATATCTTGTATATTTTTATGCCATGAATATTAGATTTAGACAATTTACGTATAAAAGGGGGATTCCTTCCATTTCCTTGCAGCTGTAAGGAGGATAAGCAGTTGTGTAACAGTACTTTTCATCTCATGCTTTGTTTCTTTTGTTGGTGTGAGTGTCTGTGATAGCATAGATAACAGTTTTTCTTCACGAGAATGGTTACACAATTTACATGCATCAAATTATCATTTGGTTGGTATGACAGTTTCTTTTTCCAAGTTTTGCAAACAGCTGTCACTTTCTACTCGTAATGTTGCTTCTCAGCAAGTTGTTACACTATTAATAAAGGACAAAGTGTTAACAATTTTGTGAATGTTATTGCTTTGCAGGATAAAGCTGTGTCCACAGAACTGAATATTTTAGAAATGTGTTTTTTTTAAATCTTTTTCTCACATTGTATTTTACTACATGAAAGTAATAAGAACTGTTTTTAAGTTCTTACACTACACACAGAGTTTCTGTTACTTGAATTGCTGGGTGTTCAGTGGATACAGACAGGAGGAATAGTGCAGCTCACAAATATAACCTGTCTCCTTCAGGCTACTTCATGCAAACAGATGCTGAATATGAATACAGGTAGAAGCACTTGAAATGAAATAATTTCTATCTGTTACTTGCTCTATTGGTGTCAGTCCAACCTTTTTATTCAATTGAGTATCTGTGCTTGCTTCTAGAAGAGTTTCATTAGTGTTTTAGGTTTTTTTTTTTTCCATTTAGAAGCATTCCAGACTTCTAACAATGCTTCCTACACAGTAATGATATTCTGTGGTTCCTCTCCACCTTTCTATTTTGCCATTACCAATTGGCAGTTAGTGCTCAAGTCTTCTTTATCTTCAGATGCCCTTTCAGTAGCAGTTGAAAAGTTATTTCTTCTAAATAGAGATGATTCTACTGCTCCACATGCCCATCTCCAAATAACAAGAATAATAGAACAGTATTTAACTGTAGACTGCCTTCACAGACCTCTGATTTCATACCCTTCTTTCTTGCTGTGACAGAAATTTAACGTCCTCTAATGGAAACAGCGCAGTCTTGTAGCAGATTCTTGAGATGACAGCATGCCACAAATATGTCACAAATCTCTCACTCCTTGCCTAGACAGTTCTAAACTAGTGTTTCATTAGTCTAAATTTTTACCCTCTTCTTCAACGTGTTTTAGCTAAAACACAAGGCACCACAAGCGGATTGCCCTCTCCAGGTCAGTTTTCCATGGAGACCGTTTTCCATGGTGACCATAAACTTCTATACTGACGTTTTATTAACATTTTGTACAGTGCTTCAAATGGTGCTTCTCCTGCATTTCCTTTAAAAGTTGTCATTACTGCAGATGATCCACTGAGTGTTTTGTCTGACAGTGCTTTATCTGTTGTTCTATTGTAGCTTCTGTGATGCATTTAAATATGCTAAATATTTAACGTATTTTCAGACCTCTTATTCTGATAGACTCCAAGCTCTGTTCATGTCTCTCCTCTATGTATTTAAGCTTCTGTGGAGAATTGATGTCATGTTTTCATTGAAAAGAAGACTGAGAGGGGACCTGATCCAGGTCTATAAATATCTGGGATGTGTGGGGCAGAATGGCGAGGCCGGACTGTTTTCAGTGGTGAGTGGAGACAGGACAAGGGGAAACGGCCGGAAACTGCAGCACAGGAAGTTCTGCACCAATGTGCGCAAGAACTTCTTTACAGTGAGGTGACGGAGCACTGGAACAGGCTGCCCAGGGAGGTGGTGGAGTCTCCTTCTCTGGAGATGTTCAAGACCTGCCTGGATGCCTACCTGTGCGACCTGCTGTAGGGAACCTGCTTTGGCAGGGGGGTTGGACTCGATGATCTCTGGAGGTCCCTTCCAACCCCTACAATTCTGTGATTCTGTGATTCATGTCTTCAGATAAATGTTTTCTTTATTCCAGCTAAGGCATTACTTTATACACTTTGTTTTCTGTCACTGTTCATGTACTATTGGTATGCACAAGAGGATGAGAAAGTAAAATACACTAGGAGACTGACATTTCTGGGACTTTTTCAAAACTGTTTTATCATTGTGGCGTTTTGTTCTGATTGGATATATAGCAATGTGGGAGGGAAGGACTTCAAGGTAAACACACGAGTTAGTGTTTAAAGCCCTTGCTATAAAGGAGAGGCTTTATGAATGAGGAGGAGAAAGATTTGTACGTGCTAAGAGACATTTTCAGAAGTATGGGACCAGAGTCTGGAATGGGAAGCAATAACTGTATTCATGCCAAGTTCTTGAAGAGAAGGAGTGATGAAAGAACCAGGGGAAGTAAGGAAAGGTAATTTACCCTGAGGAAAGTGTTCATTTGCAGTTATGCCCTCTGCTTACCATAGATTGAAAGTAATGCTGGAAATACTGAGTAGCTAATTGAAGTGGCATGAACTCAAGATGAAACTTGGAACTGAAGTATGCAATGCAGGTTTTTGTTTTTTTTTCCCTTTTGGCTTTTGTCTAGCAGTCCTGTTACAGGCTCCGGTAAGTGGAAGATTAATGACAGTGTTTGTCATTGTAGTCTTTTGTTTGATAGACACACACTGGAGCTATGAAGCCTTTCCCAATCCCAGCTGACTGTTCAGTAGCGCTATAGCTACAGCAGTGCCAAGAGCTAGAATCTCTATCTGTATCTCCAAGTACTTTCTATTCCTTGAAATGCAACAAGCAGTATAAACAAATACAACGTTACTTAGCTGGTCTTGTGTCTTTGGAAGGTGTCATACAAAACAATCTGAATTGGTAGAAAGTGATTAAAAATTGGATATTTGTGGCAGAACTTTTAATATGTGTGGCTTTACTTCTAATTTCATTTGAGTAGTGTATTTCAGGAGGTGACTGTCATGAACATAACAACACTGCACCACTAATGTAAAATATGTCACCCATGTGGTTCTTTTATCACACACACACAAAAAATAGCTTTAAACTGAAAAATGCATAATAACATTTTTCAGTATGGTCGATAGTGAGTTCCACATAAGTCCTTCAGTAGTTAAAGCAGCATTTAAAAATACCTTCTAGAAAAAATGTAACACTCTTAGATTTATGTAGTTTATGGCTGTGTTTAACAGAGCTGCTGTAAGAGCCTGAAAGGATGTGACTTCTCCTAGCAGGAAGGGCTCGTGTCACAGGGAGCAGCTTGAAGGGGAAGTTTAGGAGCGAACATTCTTCCTGCATGAAAGTAAAGCTGAAACTATTCATTAGTCAACAGCTTAGGATAGGAAGAAAGTACTTCTGTATGCTTTTCCAGTAACAAAGTTGCATTCTATTTTTCAACCCAATATCAATCTTGGATCCTGCATATTTTAATCTGGTAGAAATGCGACCACAAGATTGTGCTCCAGAAGGCAGCTTTTGTTTGTTCAGTTTAAGATCAGCTTTTTATCTAAACAGTGTATGTAGATGGAAAAGTTCAGCTGTTCACTTTTGTAAGGCATAAGGGAAGATGTCACGTATCAGAAGTACCTGTGCATGTAAGAAATTACATATGGCAGCAATTGAGTAGTAAAAGTTTGGTATGCTCTGTTAGTTGGATGCTATGGCTCTATGAATTAATGGAGAAAAAGAACGCAGGAATTTTTCCCTGAAGTAAACAATGAAGATTTATTCAAAGTTGTTAATTGAAGCCGTCTGTTTTTCAAAAGATGAGCTGTAATTCAAGCAGAAGTTTTGAAGTTGAGCTAGAAATTACTGGGAAAATTTATATGGCACACCTCAAGCAGGAATGAGGACTAAATGAATGATGATCTTCCACAATTTAAAATTGTTTTTGTTTGTTTGTGTGTTTGCTTTTGGAAAGTAATGCAGCTTACTGTGTTTAAGATATTACTTGGAAAGTAATGCAGCTTACTGTGTTTAAGATATTACTGTTTGTTCTGATGGGATTGCATACAGGGATAAGTCTCATGTGTGTGACATGAGATGCTAACCTTTACTGAAGCTGATGAAGCACAATTATTTCTGGTAAGGGGACTTTTGAAAGTTTGTTTTTTAGTTCTAAAGAAGTAAAACCTTATTGTTTCCAAAGACTGATAATGGCTTTATTTGGTGATTATGGAAGGTCAGCCACTTTACACAAATATGTCTTCATATTTGTGATGTATGTGTTGTTTTCATGAACAAATATACAGCAAATGAGTTCTACAAATTACTTTTGTATTGTTCAGCTGGAACTTAGAAACAAGTACATAACTTAAATTCTTTTTTTCTTTTTTTCTTTCCAGGTACTAAATCTCAGGAAAGATATTGGTCTTCAGAAAGTACTATGGACAACGGGAAAAATGCTGATAACAGCTCTTATAATGGGGGAGCTCTGCTTAGAATGGGCCTCAATGATAACAAAGCTGGAATGCAAGGTTTGGATAAAGAGAAAATTAATAAAATCATCATGGAAGCTTCCAAGGTTGGTTTGAATGTATTTATTTATTTTTCCTTGCCAGCATTTCTACTCATATCTCCTTTCCCATAATAGATAAAGTTGATGTGAATGGATTTTTAATGTTTTCAGTAGAATTCCTTTGTCCTTTCCTTTTTGTCCTTTGTCTCAAGTGATTCTTGAGAGGGGTGGTTAGAAGCATGCAGTTTTGTGCCAAAGATACGCAAAAGAAATCACACCTCTACAAAGCACTGGAATATTAGTCCTCTTACTTTTTTTTTTCTTAAACGGCCGGCAGATGCGACTATACGGGGATAACACTTCATTCAGGCAGCTCTATATTTTTTTTCTTTTTCTTTCATGAATGTTTATTTCATTTGATGTTGCTGTATCCCAAGGTTATTTGCATAATATTTTTGCTCAGGAATTTGTGTGTCACTCTATTATGTCCAAACCATACCAAGCTTACCACAGTGGTAAGAAAGTGTTTTTTGTTGGTGCTTTACACACTCTGGGGTAAACTCAGAGATAAGGAACGTGCTAGAAAAAGCATTTATTTAGCAAGCATACTTTATTTGTGTTTCCACTTCAACAGTACTTTATGTAGTGTTAAGACTCTTGTTGATATAGATGTTTCCTGTCCTTATTGTGTCCATTAGTTCTTGAAAAGTTAGCTCTTTGTCAGAAATATGTTCATAATTACATATGGAGAAGTTATTTCTCAGGGACAGTTACTGTTTAATCACCTGTGTTGAAATGGAATGAACTGTGAAAAGGGCTTTCAAAACCAATAATAGGTTTCTTTGTATTAGGCTACATTTCTGTAAGTAAAGTAGGAGAATGTAATGCCATGTATGGATCAAGAAATCTGAAAATAAGTTTCTATTCTTTCTGAAACTTTCCTTCTTTTTTAGTTCTTTCAAAATTAAACTTACGAACTCTATCCACAGTTCTGCTATGGTAAGATTTTACATAATTTCAACTTTGAAATACTGCAGGGGATCTCAGAGAAGAACTTCTTTAATAAGTCTTAAATACTGGGCAGCTCTTCATCCTAACATTTTCTTATTGAATTCTTTCAGCAAGAGTTAACAAGTCATGCTTGATTGCTGAGGGGAAAAAAGATGATGTGTATGTCTGATATTGAAAGAAAACATCAATCTCTCTTGTTTATCAGCTGTCTGAAAATCCAAAGTATTCATTACTGTGTTTCACACTTTCTATATTTAAAGATCAAATTTTTACTTTACTAGATGAAAAGACAAATTAAAACCTTACAGTTTTTTGTAATTTTCTTCCAGGGCTCCAAATTTTTTGAAAATGAGCTCAAAAAAGATCAACAGGTTAACCAACGAATTGAGAAAATGATGCAGCTTAAGGAGAAAATTACACAACAACAGCTATTGAAAGCACGGTTGCAGGTACTCATCCTGTACATTTTTATTTTATTTTACTTTATTTTATTTTATTTTATTTTGAGAAGATGATGCATAAACTTTTCAATGGGATTTAATTTGCTGCATTAAATTTTGTTGATAAGCACAGCATTGGATACTGTTTACATGTCAGTCATGCAAGTACATTTTGTACAGTGATTTAAGGATGTAAGTGTAATAAAACATTCCTAGAAAAAGATTAAGTAAGTTTTAAAACATACATGATTTTTTTTTTTTTAATTAGAATTCTTCATTCTCGTCCTTCTAAATCCAGACAGTTTGAAGGGATATCATTATGGTTTCTGGAACAGCTTTATTAAGTACTTTGTTAATAAATAAAATAGCATTCTTCAGTATTAGAAAAAATATATTTTTGTGTTAATGACCCTCAATGAAATGAAGATGGTCAGAGCTTTCAGCTCCTTCCGGTTAACATATTCTTTATCTATGCTTTGTAATGGAAGGTAAGAAGTCAGATGAAATACATGTGTCTTAAACTAGAAGGATGGAGGGACTATTATTCTTTTCATATGCTAATAGTAGATAACAATATCCTAAATCGTTCTCTGCGGTAGATACTGTTAGAAGAAAACTACAACAGGTTGCACACTACATTCGTAGATAGGCGTAATTAAAGTTACTTGTAGTGGCTTAATTCACTTCCTTTCTGATTTGTACTGTGATTCAGTCTTTAATTACATGATTGCATGCCGTTTTTTTCTCTAATAGGATTCCTGTTTCATTCAGTGTGCAGTACAGACACAGTTCAGTGAGTGAGCAATTATTTACTGTTGTCCTCATTGCTCAGTGGATGGCCCCAAGGCTTATTTGTTCTACACTAGACTAATCCAGCTTTAAATGTAGAATTGCTGTCTTCTTCATAGGCTTTTCTGTGTTGTACACTACGTATTGAAAATTCTTTAAATTATTCTTGCAAAACTCCAGCAAAGTAGTGTGATATTTTTATTTTGTAGATGAGAAGCTGAGGTATATTTCCTGAGCTGTTTTCTCAACCTTCAATGTCTGAGGTCACCTTTGTCCTACATTAGTTCCTTAATACAATCTGTGTAGTACTTAATCAGCTTCTCTAAATTTTTCAGATACAGGTATACCTAAGTCTCATTATCATCTTTAGCTTTCTTCCTATCGCTTTCTTTATTTCAGTCACACTCTTCATTTCAATACTGCCTTCTTGAAATACTGTGAAAGAACTTGTTCTCCTAGAATGTGTAACTAGGAGATGTTTTGGAATTACAACATATACATATATTTGGAAATATATGCATATATCTGCATGCATGCTGCAAGTTTTCATCTTCAAGTTAAGTCTTGTTTGTAGGGTGCTTAGAGACTGAGATACAGCTTCCTAAGCTGGCAATCTGTACAGGATCTCTAATGTAAAATCAAAGCAATAAAAAAAATTTCTCACTTACTGATTTGTTGGACAAAATCTGGGTTATATCCTGGAAACAGTAGCATAAATGAATGTTTTAATATCTTAATTTGATTATGCAGTTTAAGATAGGAATTGTGTGTCTTGCATATTTTACGTTCTCCAACAATGTAAGAAACTTTTTTTTCCCATGTGTTGCATTATGTAAATAGCTAATAAATAGTAAATAGTAAATAGTAAATAGCCTGCATTAACTTTTAGTTGGGCCCTTAATTTCTCTAAACTAGTATGTTTAGCCTTGGGAGCATACTGTATTCTTCTGTATGGAATAGCCTACCTTGAGGTCCTGTTTCACCTCTACAGCGAAGGTGGAACAAAGAAGAGAAAAGACTAAGTAAGTCATTATTCAGCAATTTGTTCGGGACATTCAAAGCCACTTGTCTTTGTTCAAGTATCTTCAGCCTCAAAGGCTGAGATTTTAGAGTAGTTTTTTGTTTATTTTATTAAGTAGCTCTGTGAGGGAAAAAAAGAGCAACAAAGAACAACTCTTGCAGTGACTGGGCAAATTGCACATAACTGTTCCTTTTCAAGACCGTAAAATAATTACAGTTGAGCCAGAGACATTTCTGTGATGGTACCTTGATTTCACGAATGTTTGTGAACGTCCTTGTTCTTTACACACACAGTGAAACTTCTGTTCCTTTTCACTACATGCATTTCTTGAGCTCTAATGTGTGTGAAGCTCACTGTTTCTTTTCTAATCGCAACAACTTTTTGTTTGTGGAAATAGAGGTTAGCATAGTCATTAGTATGATTAGGCAATCATAGTTTGATAGCACTTCCTTTGTTCTCCTTTTTTGATGTTTTCTCTTTTGCTTCTAGACTGTTGTATGGTAATGACAACATAGTCACCTTAAGTCAGTAGGTCTTAAAAATTTTCTATTAAGTAATACGCTCATACTTTCTAGTGACACTCACGCACTTCATACTGCATTTGTAGTTGAATGATATTTCAGAAACAAGCACAAAGTCTCCAGCTCTCTCAATAAAAGAATGCAAATAAATTAAGAAAAACAGTTTAAGGTATTTTTGTGGAGAAACCTATGTCTGACTGATTCAGAACACTGAGGGACTGATCAAACCCACAATCTACTTGTAGGAGAAAAATCTTTAACTCCTGAAGAGAAACAAAGTACTTTCTAACCCTTTTCTATGTACAGTTGCCATACTGTTCTGCTTGCAGTCCAGCCTTTTAATACATATTCCTGTAACAAATGCTGAAGAATTTTACAAAGGTATTAACAGCAGCTTTCTTTGCAGTAAATGAAACTGTCTGAGACCTTGTTTCTCACAAAGTAAGATTGACTGTACTGCCTTTTGAGTTGCTGGTCTTTTTTCATGTGAAAAATTTGAGCCAATTCCCTGAAGAGTGATAGGTTCAGCTAGGTGTATTGGAAATTCACATTCTATTAATGTATTTTCATCTGTTTGTTTATTTTTTAAATAATGTCTGTGACAGTAGCTGAAGCAGCATCTTCATCCCAGTTACTGTCTGAATTTGTTTGGTTTTTTTTTTCCACTGGTGAGGAGTTTGTTGCTTTTTGTACCATTTGCTCTAGCAGTGTTTTAGGCAAGTGTCACCAGAAACGTGTTTTTTTTCTTAAACAGCATGCCATATACATCAAAATTATTGAAATCGTGTGTACTTTTGAACTTCTGCAAGGTTAACAGTTTTTTTAATTATTACTTTATTTTGTTCAGGTGGACAAACTTGTGATGGAACTGGAACAGAGTCGCAACCTTAGTTGTACTATTGTACACATTGACATGGATGCCTTCTATGCAGCTGTGGAAATGAGAGACAATCCAGAGCTGAAGGAAAAGCCTATTGCAGTGGGATCAATGAGCATGTTGGTAAGACCAAATGTCAAGCTAACATAGAAATTAATTGCATTAATCTAAAAATGTGATAAAATGTACAATAATAGCATATAATAAAGAGAAGTTTCATGACTTTCTGGAAAAAATAACAAGAGTGGTAGAGGAAGTGTCTATTCTAGACCACGTTAAGCTGAACTTTGTTTTTCAGTAGAAAGTGTAATAATGAAAGGGTGCGAACAGACCAGAGAGGGGAAAAGAATATATTATTTTCATCCTATTCACTCTTTTCTGTGTACAGTTCCATGATCAGAATTTGATTTAACATTAAGTGTCATTGAGTAAACCTTGATTACCAAATACTAAACTTCTTCTCTTCTTCCAAGTCCACCTCAAACTACCATGCTAGGAGATTTGGTGTACGTGCAGCCATGCCCGGATTTATTGCCAAAAAGCTGTGTCCACATCTAACTATAGTACCGTTAAACTTTGAAAAATACAGAAAAGTGAGTAAAGAGGTAGGTCTGGAAAAATGAAAAATATTCTAACTAAAGATGGGTGTACTTTGTTTTAGACTTTATCAGTTTTAGATAATGAGATGTGGCAGCATAAATGTTACATTAGAATATGTTTGAACCTGTTTAGAATCTTGGATTTTGCAACACATATACCTCATTTGTTGTTTGATGGTAGTAAAGTATTAAAAGTTACAGTTGTTTTGGTTTTATATTTGTGATTTTTTTGAGATTTGGATTTATTTTGCTTTGTTAGTAAAAACTGAGCTGTGAATCTTATCATTGATTGTTTAAGGGAAGATGAGATGCATATGATCAAATATTGTGATTCCTAATAATTGGAGCTAAACTTATAAAATATAATGCAGTCAAATTTTCCTTCTTGCTAAAAAATAAAAAAGAATAATAAAAGGGAGGGAAGGGGTGAAGAGAAGCAGTAAAATGAGAGATTTTATTTGTCCTATTAATTTAATATATTGTTTTGGAGGATGCACTCAAAATTAATGATTTTGGGGTAAGGTTTGCTAGTGACTCTGACTGGAGCTCTTAAACTGCTGCTATACCAAATTGTTTGAGTATGATTTAAAATGTGGGCTTTTCTTATGCTTTGCGTATCTGATGTCTGACGGACAGTGCAGATAGATAAACCAGCTAACGTGCTTCTTCTCAACTTCTGTCAGTTTCCCAGATTCCCAGAGTTTTGTTCAAGTACTTACAGTAGTGACTGTGAACCTAATGCCAATGGAGTGCTTATTCACCGAGCTTAGTGACCTGTACAGTAAAACACCATGTCAGAACCACTTTTCTTGCTCAGTATTGATGTCTTGGTACTTGGGAGAAGTAGTGCTATAATTTTGTAATATCAAAAAATTATTTGCTCTATAAATGTCTTTAATGGTGAATGGTCATCTTGAATTTTCAGAGTATGTTTGCTCACCTAATGATTGTTCATCAAGATCTGTTTTTACAGCAAAGATTTAAACTTTCTCTATACATTCATGAAGGTTAAAGAGATACTGGCTGAATATGATCCCCATTTTATGCCTATGGGCCTAGATGAAGCCTACCTGAATGTAACAGAACACTTGGAGGAAAGATTGCACTGGCCTGAAGATAAAAGAAGATACTTCTTGAACACAGAAAACACTACAGAAAAAAGTAAGCAAAGTACTCTCTTCTTTTGCTTATACAGTATACTTCAGAAAAGCAGCTCCCATGGAAAGTACACATATCTAAGTGCATCCTTTGTAATTCTTTATGCTATCTACCTCTGATTTCTTAGGTTATAAGTTCACTTTCTCTACAAAAGCCGTGCTGATGGCAGTTAGGATTTAGAGATGTAGATTTTTAACTTGTGAGTACATATGTGTGAAAAGTGGTGACAGGTTTACCATACCTAGTTGCATGTTTTAGCTACGTATTTTGTCTTTACAATTCAAAACTGTAATTTTGCAAATAAATAGTAATAATCTTGTGACCTAAGGAAGTATAGAATAAATAAATAAATTGATTGTTCTAAAGATTATTTACAATTTGCTGAAGTGTTTCCTAGAATGAAATACTGCAATGAGTTCTGTACATCAGAAATGTGAGAAGTTATCTGCAAAGCAAACATGTATAAGCTCTATTAAGATGATTTTGCAAGACTAGAACTCTTCAAAGAAATATAGTAATGCTACAGAAATATGGTAATGCTTAAAGATATGTCTGGATTTCACATGGCTCTAGAAGGCGGAGTTCGATCCACACCCACAAATGTGAAACCAATTAGGAATAGTAAAAAAGGAGTGAAGTAAATGGTTGATTGAAGTGCAAAGTGGATAGCTTGTACTATTATATTAAAAAATTATCCAAATAGCTATTAAGAGGATAACGAAAGAAGCTGTACTGAAAAACATTAGTAGATGAGAAGAAAACAAACTGGCATTGTCTATGCAAATTAAATACCACTAATATGTAATCATGTGTCTCTTCATACTTATCTGCTGTTTTCTTTTCCTACCACGTGCAGCACTGAGAATGTGAAAGTGTAATAGAAAAGTTTGAAGTTTGAATACAAAGGGCTGCTGTCATTCCTAGTTCTATGATGACTGAAGCTGAAGATTTGAAACTTACCAGATTGGCTATTCTAGAACCAGAAATTTTGCATTATCCTAGTATCATTAGAAAATATTGAGGGGAAAAAAAAGCACAGAAGATTTTAATTCCCATGAAAAAAGGGAGCATCTGGGCTTCTCTATGATGCTGTATATATATTGATTAATTGCTTGTGTATTTATCTGATACAGATAAAGAGGATATAAGCATATCTGGCAGACTGAATATAGATGGATACTCTTCTTCACCAGAGCTGTTTGAAGATGGCACATCTGTAATGGATGATCACTCTGGACAAAGATATCAGTCACTGAAGAATGTAGTTGTGTTTGGAACCTCTGCAGAAGAAGCTGTGAAGGAAATTCGCTTCAGGATTGAGCAGAAAACTCAACTGACTGCTAGTGCAGGTATTCAAACACATAAATAATAATCCTTTGTGTTTCCATAGTGTGTTGTACACTAATCTCAGGGGATGTTACAGGCTTAAGAAATAAGTATTGCCACAGCATTCTCATGCTGCAAAGAAATATGCCTCTTTTGCAATTCTGTAAAAACTGTCTTAACGGGCATTAGTGAAACCTTATATGTATCAAAGCCATTCCTCTATTTTTTAAATCATATAAGTAGTTCTTTATGCTTCTTTTGTCTTGAAATGGAAGTAGTGTAGAGACAGGACAAGGGGAAATGGCCTCAAGTTGCGCCAGGGTAAGTTTAGGCTGGATATCAGGAAACACTTCTTTACAGAAGGGGTTGTTAAGCACTGGAATAGGCTCTTCAGAGGGGTGATTGAGTCACTATCCCTGGTTATGTTTAAAAAACTATTTGGATGTGGTGCTCAGGGACATGATTTAGCAGAGGGTTGTTAGAGTTAGGGTAGTATGGTTAGGTTGTGGTTGGACTCAATGGTCTTGAAGGTCTTTTCCAACCTGAGTGATTCTATGATTCTATGATTCTAAGTGAATTGGGGAACTCAGGAATTATTAGCACTGCTGATACTTGTTTTAGTGCCTCATGTAAATTGTTATAATACGCTTATGGCTGTAGTGTAATCCATTACTGCTTCCTGAATTGGTTTTAGCTTGAAGAACAGATCAGTTATTGCTACCTCTAGCAATCTTGCCACACTGTTCCTTTTGTTCCTTTTAATACAATATTGAAATTCACTTAAAGGATGATTCTTAGAGAAGAAAATGTAAGTTAATAAAATATTGAGAAGGTTATTTGCCATCTAAGCTTCCTGTCTTCAGGCAACCTACCTGCAAGCATTGATAATCTGCCTTAGATATCAAATAAATAAATTAAATAAAGTAAGTAAGTAAGTAAGTAAGTATGTTCCTAGTAATCTAGTTTGGATGGCATCCAAAGAGCTTTGTGAACCAGGTCTGTGAGGCATCAGGGAAAGCTGAACTTTATGAAGCAGGTAAGTGTGAAGGCCAGAGAAATGTCAAAAGCAAGCAGAGGTAAAATAGGTAGTAGAAACAAACAGATGAGATTGCCCCATATGTTATAAGTAGTAGCAAAATAATAATTTTGATCTTCTGAAATGTTTTCCCTGAAGGATAAAATACTGCTAATGATGCTTTTATAAATGCATCAAAATGAAACATGGTTAGAAGGCTAATGGAAAAATTCTGATCAGTAATAGTGAAAGAAAATTACTTCCACCATCCAGACCGTGGATGTATAATCTCTGAGCTCTGGGCCTCACTGAAAGAAGAAGTCGGGCCATTAATAAAATACATAATGTGGTTAACGTGTGTAACTAACAAAATAACCTCTTGTATTTTTCAGTAGTTTTTATAAAAACATTAAAAAAAAAAAAGTCAACAAAACCATAAAACTAGTGGGTTGTTTGACCTTGTTTTTGTGAAACTGATTTCATTGACTGGTTCAATGGAAGTGGCTATGATTATTAGTAAGTGCTCAAGATGCTTGTCAGATTTTTGATCTGATTTTACTCTTCCTGTGCATCATCCTTGAAAAAATTGTTCAGGAATGTACATACTGCCAAAAAGTGATTACATGAATAAGATGTGATTGTGAGGTATATTTTTCTATGTTAAGATAGGCCTTATAAAAGTCTAGTAAAGAGAAGTGACCACATTTTTCTTTGAGTTGAATGCCTGACTGCAATTCTATACATTTGATTTGAAAATTCACAGGTAATACATGTGAGAACTGAAAATGGAGTTGTGAGTATTCAAAAAAAGCTGATGTTTCTTTGGAAAACTTGAAATCTATTTTCAAATTTCTTTATCAAGCTCAAAAACAAAGCACATATTTTTCCAATGTTCACAGGACTATGTTTACCCACTGTATCACAGTGCATACAATTATTTGCCATATCTCGGGTTTGCTGTAATTTGTTTCATTGTGAACGCCGCTGTGTGTTGAAATATAACATGGATAAGTTCACCTTGAAGGTGCTTATGTAACTTGTTTAAATGAACTGTCAAATCCACCAAAAAGCATTGTAAATTATTTTAAGCTTTTTGTGATCTTACGAGGCATTTGAAATGATAAAATTTGTCAGCACAAATTTTGGCATGAGTGTGCTGGATATTTCATCTGCAGTGAAAATGTCAATTTACTACAGTGTTTTATGAAATAACATAAGCCCAATTTTAATAATAAGAAAATTTGCACGTCTGCTTGATTCAAAAAAGTATGCCCTCACAGGCATACGCACCTGTAGCTAAGTTGAAATATCATTATCAGCAATCACTGCCTTTTATTCACTAAGTGGCACAAGCGAATTTAATGAGTAGTACATGTGATTTTAAATTAATCTGAGTGCGTGTGACGGGCATGAGAGGCAGAGCTAGCACTGCAGTGTGCCTTTCTTGTTTCCACCTATGCAGTCAATGCTTGAGCTGTGTGCAGTCCACTCATGAAAAATATTGCTAAGCATTTTTTTTTTTTTTTAATTTTTTTGCTAACTGATCCTATAGTTTGTTTGTAAAGCTATTTTCTTTTCTAGAAAGGAGCAACTCCTACTTATTTCTTCCAAGCAGGACCAATGGAATATTATGTATTTTTTAATTCTAAGTAATTTCCTATCAAGTGGTAGTCCAGAAAATACTAGGTTAGTAAATTTTATCATAATACATTGAGTCTTTTTTTCTGAACTGCAAGCAATACAAACAATACAACTACAGTAACACCTTTACATTGAAATTTATTGTAACTGCTGTTGTAAGAATTTTCTTTTCTCTTACTGTAATCACTTTAATAGTCATAAAATCATTCAGTCATGTAATGGATGTTATTTTTAAGACGCTTGATATCTAACTCCTCATGACTGATTAGTACATGTTCTGTTAGCCTTTTTCAAAATAGTAGGTACGCTCGATCTGATGCATCAATTATTTTTAAACTGTCGCATGTATTTATTTTCTCACAAGTTTATTACTGTTGGTTTTTTTTCTTTTTTTCTTTTCCCCAGAATTCCAAGAAATCTGCTTATTATTAGTTACCATTTCTCTTTTGCTTTTACCAAATGTGTAGGCTACTCTTACACTTCTAAATAATGGACGATTAAAATTGCAATCTTGTATTTTTCAATATTTTCTTTCTTTGTGTTTAAGGAATTGCTCCAAATACAATGTTAGCAAAAATGTGCAGTGATCGTAATAAACCTAATGGACAATGCAGAATTTCTCCAGAGAGACAAGCAGTTCTAGACTTCATAAAAGATTTGCCCATTAGAAAGGTAAGAGGTACTATTATACATTTATAATACAATCATTTATATTTCTGATGTTTTAAAACCAAGATTTCTCCAGAAAGAAAAAAAAAATTCTAAGTAATATGCCCAGTTTTTTCTTAGTACTGGATCCTCAAATGGTAATTTCCATTTTAATGTGTGCTTGTTTGTTTGTTTGTTTTTTCCTCCCAGGTGCCAGGTATAGGAAAAGTAACAGAGAAGATGTTAAAAGCCCTTGGAATTGTGACTTGCTCAGAACTTTACCAGCAGAGGGCACTGCTTTCTCTTCTTTTTTCAGAAGCATCTTGGCGTAGTTTCTTGGATATCTCTCTTGGGCTGGGTTCAACACATTTGGAAAAGTATGCTTTGGTTTTGTTGCTTTTATATTTCTACTGCTTACATTTTGCTAAATGTTTCCATGTATGTTTTATATAATTTACATTTTAAGGTACACTATGTAGACAGACCAAAAAATACTATGAAAATTAGGCTTGTGTTCAACATATGAAATTTAATAAGTCTTTTAAAGAGGAAGTTGTGTGTATGTGTATTTTATTAACCAAATCAGCACTATTTATTATACTGATAATAAATATATCTATATATTAGATATCTCTCTATGTATCTAAGTATATTACAATACACAATATAATATATCTTAACATATAATATACTATTATACTAGGTACTAACATACTGTAAGATTAATATATAGTTTAGGATAATATCATAATTATTAAAATAACTGAAGAGATAATAGTTACTTTTCCAAAGCAGAGATGTTCAGTCATGTTTCTTTTATGAAAATAATATACCTTCACCATTTTTTATTATCTGATTGTATTGGAAATCATATTGGTGGTAAACTGTCATGTTGCTATTGAAAGTAAATAATTTTTCTGTGTCTCCTCTCATTTTTATGTTCAAATCTATAATAACGTAGGAGTTTATGAGAATACAACTGAAGATTTCAAGTTTTTTTTTCATATCTGTTGTTATGAGATTCATTACTGAGTAGATTTTTATTCTTTTGTTTGGATGGGAGAAATAATTTTCACCAGTAAATCTGTCTTTTCAATTGTGTATACCTCATTTCTTAGCCTGCCCTGGATATAAATACACAGCACTTAATTTTAAAAATCATAGCACTTTGCTATTTGGAATTTTAGGAACCAATATTTCTAATTAGGGATTGAGTCCTTTCTTGTCAATATTACATCCATAAATATCCTTCTGTCCTTTCAAAAGTTATAAAATTCTATCAAAAAATGACCATGATTTGATTTTATTAGGAATTCACTTCCAAAGTACCTTCTGAAAAACGTATTCCTCCTTACTTCCTTTACTCCTCTGACAATAGTAGATCTTATACTTTTCCAATTTGTCTATAAAATAATACTGGCAGTTAATAATTTGTAGGCAAGTAATGTTCTACCGTGAATGCTTCTGAAAATAAAAAAAAATACAGCAAACTGATGACTTGAAAGAAAACATGCAGTAGGGTTCACTTTGTGAAGCTGACTTGAATAAAATCAGATTGTTACATTTGTTTCTGCTATGATAATGCAACCTCAAATGCTCCTTTAAAATCAGCAGACTTTCTTTCCTTATTCACCCTGTTGTAGATGTTATACAGTCTGTGATAAAACGTGTCAAAAATTAAGATTATCACTGCAAAAGAAATTTAGGCAGAAATTTAGGTAGAAAGCAAATTAAACCTTCAGACAAACAAGTATTCTTATATGTGTAGTACGTTTGGGATTTTACTAGCAGTATTTGTGTTATACCTAGGAGAAACAGAATCAGATTTTTATTTAGTTTTCAGATAACTTTTTTGATAAGAGACAAAAGGTTTATTTTGCAAACTGGTAAGTCTTACATCTGTAGGTTTTATTATATATTATATTGCCATATTTATTAAGTGATATATATATATCTTGTCTACGCTCAGTCAAGCTTAATGTACAAGATTTGCTGAATATAATATTCAGATTTTACAGAGAAGTTTGCTGTTATTTATTGAAGCATGATTGAAGTTGACTCAGAGTCTGGTGAAAAGGTAAAAATTACTGGTAAAGTGAGTATATTAATTTGATTTCTTTTCGTTGTTTTTTTAAGGGATGGAGAAAGAAAAAGTATGAGCACTGAAAGGTATATCATTTGACCTTGAAAAAATTACATTAATCACTAAATCTACTTAATGTCCTGATGTGTATGGTTTTGTTAGTCATATAAATTCATTGTGTATTTACATATGTTATAAAGCTAACAAAGCTCACGTTCGGGCTCCATCCTCACCCCATCCCCTTTTGGCTTCAGAATATTCTGGAAGTACTCCTTCTTTGTTTTCTGTTTTCTCATCATCTGCTTCTCTTTGAGCCACAATGTAGAGTGGAAACATTTACTGTTTTATGTTTCAGTTCAATGCCAATAGCAATCTAGTAGCCTGCAGTCACGTGGATAACATGTATAATGCAGTGAATTCTTGAAAGGCCCTAATTTTGCAGGGATTGCTGAGATGTGTTTCCTTGTGCATTATTTCTTACTAATTTAGCACTCCTTCAGAAGGCAACATGTTAGTTTAAAAAGGTGAGGTTTTGGAAAGAAATTATTGCAAAGAGAATCTGCATGTAACTGCAGTAATTATCCTGCCCTCATCTTAGAAAATAAGGAAAAATTAATATTCCTATTGAGACGTCATAATTTGAGGCAATGTTGGTAAGGATTTCCTCCTGATACCTAATCTAAATCTCCCCTCTTTTAGTTTAAAACTGTTTTCCCTTGTCCTATCACTATCTGCTGTTGCTCTCCAGTTTTTTTGTATAAACCCCATTAAGTATTAGATGGCAATATCTCCCTTTTCTTCTCCACTCTGACCAAATTCAGGCCAGTCATATGCTGGTTTGCAGGCTGATAGATAATCTGAGTAGGCTATTACCTTTCTGTGTTTTATACCTTCTTTTGTTCTCTCTGAACAAAGATCTGGTTAGATAAGAGACATCAGTGGGCTGCTGGGATCACGCAGCTAGTTTATATGAAAGAAAGAGGGGTGTTTGAAATTGCAATGTCTCTATCTTTCCCCCCTTCCAAACTTCCAAATCCTGAAGCTTCCCATATACTACAGGATTGCAATGCTGTAAATCACTGCCTATGCCTATGTAACATCAGTTACATCTTGGTTAATGGACCACAGTAAAATAATCAGTCTGTTAGTTTGGCAGCATGCAAACATTCCTAGGGGAATGTGAATCTTGAGAGGGGATGGCTATGCTGTAGACGTGAATGTAACTTTGAGACATGAAAAGTAGTGCAACTGTAAGGACTTTGTACTCATAAAAATATAAAGCCTGAAATGAAGCAATGGAATTGTGAAACTTTTCCAGAAACATCTAAAGGCTGTAAGTTTTGATTCTAGTGTGCCTTAAAACCACTACTAACAGCAACTTCCTTTTCCTTGTGTTATTCCTAAAAAGCAGATACATTAATGGGAAAAACAGTGCTTCAGTTCCCCTGATGAGAAGCTCTAACAGCATTTTTGGCAGAAAGCTAGTTTTTCATCCTCTGTGACTATACATAATTATCCTAGCTGGCATATTTTTCTTTCTATCTGCATTATTTATTTCTAACACTTGGCTCTGATGTTGACTTTCTAATCTTCTCTTTCTTCTGATGTTACACTGCAGTGTACAAAGGAGATTACATACAAATTACTTTGCTGCCTCCATGAATTCAGTTGATATTAGCATTCTCTCTTGCAAATATTTAAACATTAATGACTTTAAATCTTATTTATTTTCAACTACTGCATGAGAAGTTGAGCTGCTGAATTATTTCATTATTTGAGGGGTTTAACAAATATCTTTAAGCACATAAATGTGCAAGAATCTTTTAGTACAGTATTTGTATCAGTATTTTTTTAATCTTTTTATATCTTTGAAGTAAACACTCAAACCCCATGAAACTTTCTTTTGATATAGGCTTGTTCAAGTGTTAAAGAAAAACAAACAACATTTAGATGGCAGCAAGCCTTAGGATTCATATCAAAAAAAGATACTTTTTCTTTATCTTAGAACATTCAGTGAAATTAACACGGCAGAAGATCAGTACAACTTGTGTCGAGAACTCTGCAGAGAACTTGCCCAGGACTTACAGAAAGAGGGACTGAAGGTATTTTTTATTTTATTTACTTTGAAAAGGACACCACTTTCCACTCAAAATGTATTAGTGGTATGAATCATCATCACTTCATGCAGTCTATCTTCAGGAAATTATCTTATATCATTTGCAGCTAGTTTGAATGTTTTAGACAGAGTTTTGATTTTGTTCAGATAGATATTTAATAATAAGTTTAGAAAAACTTACTTCAACTAACTAAGCTACAGAATATCTTAAAATTTGTTGCTAATGGCAATGCTGATAAATATGAGAGCTGCTAAAAAGAATCTGTTGCCTATGAGCTGTACTCTGGTCAATTATAGAATCATGAAGTCAACAAGGTTCGAACCTCCAAGATTGTCCAGTCCAACTGTCCACTTAATGTCAGTATTTCCTCACTAAACCATGTCTTCTAGTACATCTACACATCTCTTGAACTCTTCCAGGGATAGTGACTCAATCACCTTCCTGGACAGCCTGTTCCAGTGGCAAACCACTGTTCTGGAGAAGGAATTACTCCTAACATCCAACCAGAATCTCCCCTTGCACATCTTGAGACTATCACCTCTAGTCTGTTGCTAGTTATGTGGGAGAAAAGGCCAACTCCCACTTTGCCATAATGTCCTCTCAGGTCACTGTAGAAAGAAATAAGGTCTTGCCTGAGTCTCCTGCAGACTAAACAGTCCCAGTTCTGTCAGCCTCTCCTCATCAGACTTGTGCTCCAGACCCCTCACCTTCTCTAGACAAGCTCCAGGACCTTGATGTCTTTCTTGTAGTAGGGGGCCTAAAACTGAACGCAGTACTCGAGGTGCTGCCTCACCAGAGCTGAGTACAGGGGGAGGATCATTTCCCTGTTCCTACTGGCAATGCTATTTCTCATACAAGCCAGGATGCCATTGGCCTTCTTGGCCACTTGGGCACACTGCTGGCTCATGTTCAGCCAAGCATCAACCAACACCTTCAGGTCCATTTCTTCCACACAGCCTTCCAGCCACCAGCCCCAAGTGTACAGTATTGACAGGGGGGTTATTGTGGCCATAGTGCAGGATCTGGGACTTGGCTTTGGCCCGTGTACATTCCTCTGTAGGGCCTTCCTAGTTCCAGACAGATCAACACTTCCTCCCAGCTTGGTGTCACTGGCAAACTTAGTGAGGGTGCACTCAACCCCCTTGTCCATGTCATCAATAAAGACATTGGATTGGACAGGACAGGCCCCAGTACCAACCCCTGGGAAAGACCACTCGTGACTGGGTGCCAGCTGGATTTAGCTCCATTCACCACCAATCATATAATTCTAATACATTTAAAATGCTGTTTCTCTCCTATCTTTATGTAGGATCCAGTAGATAACCAGCAGTATGGTTTAAAAAGCTCACATGTTCCCAGTTTGCAGAAAAGTTAGTCATCCCACTCAATGTATGAATGATATGAACAGCCTCTGTATTCCTTCTCCCAAATTTCTTTTTATGAGAGCTGCTGTGAATTTAATGCATAATATTTGATGATGTTGTCTCATGACATCAGAGGCAGATGCTGGTGGTATGGCAGTAGAGAGTTTGAACCTTCCCACCATATTCCTTTACATTTTGTTGGTGTATGACAGATGACAACAGAGGGGCAAAATGAACGGGAGTTACAGGAAAGAAATGGACAGACTTTTTAGCAGGGTCTGTGGTGATACAGCAAGGAGAAATGGCTTCAGGCTCAAAGACAGAAGATTTAGGTTGGACCTTTAAAGATCCCTTCCACCTCTAAGGATTCTATGATTCTGTGAAAATGGTATCTAATATGGAAGTCTGTCTGAAGCAAGGGTGTGGAATTGAATTCCTCCTTATGGAAAAAATTGTACGCATTAACAGTCGTCAACACTTGCTGAACATTTCTGGAAACCTAACAGTGGATGTGAGCACAGTGATGTAGTATATGGCACATGTCAGTAGTGGTGACAGCAACTTCAAAGACAAGACATGTTCTGGACAACTATGTGGATTTTTATGAGCACAGCATGCCAGGTCTTGATAATTGCTGGCAAAAATACATAGCTAATAGTGGTGACTATGGAGAAAAATGTTGGTTTGTACCTGAGAATTTCTCTATCAGATAGTGTCCTTGTGCTCTTTGTAGATTTTGTAATTTTTATGGAAATAAATAGGAAGCATTAATTTTGGAGCAACATTTGTATTTTTTTGAAAGAAAGACTTCTCTAATGGTCTTTCTGGTAAAGCAAGGAGTAACATTCAAGACCTAAAAGAGTTCTTACTAGTTCTCTTCTGCTAAATGATTGTCTCAGTAGGTGTCAGGTTGAAAGAGAAATCAACAGCAAATAGGTCAAAGAAGTAAGCTTACAAAGGCACCAAACACACTAATTTATGTTTGGATGGTCATTCCAAATCACAATTGTCATGGAAGGTGTTGCCAGAGAATATTTGTGCCGAACAGAGGTGTTATGTGTTGCTCTGACAACACTGAGGAAGGATCCTTAATAGGGTATTACTTACACATCCCTAATAGTTTTCCCAGCAAAACTTAGATACCTGGTGCTGAAAGTTTCTCAGCGAGGAAATAATTTTTAGTAGACCACGTAGATGTTGTGCCTGCAGCCATATGCACTGTTGGCAGAAGTCTTCTGGGGACCATTGCCAACTGACCTATTTTAGAAAATTTTATTTTGGCAGTAGTTCAAGAGCAAGTGTTAAATCTTACCAATAAATTTTTTGCAGTAACTCTTACTGCACACAGACGAAAAGAAGGTCTTGACTGTGGCGTTAAGGCCCTTACAGAGGTGCTGTGTTTGTATTTCTGTGTGTGCCATATAAGATATGTATAACTGGTTTTTTTTTTGTTGTTGTTTTTTTTTTTTTTAATAGGGTAAAACTGTTACCTTAAAGCTAAAGAATGTGAACTTTGAAGTAAAAACAAGAGCTTCAACTGTGCTGTCTTCTGTTTCTGCTGAGGATGAAATATTTGCTGTTGCAAAGATGTTGTTAGGAACGGAAATTGATAGTGTTGCTCCTCACCCTTTAAGGATAAGACTTATGGGTAAAACTTTTTTCAGAATTAGATCACATAGCATATGGAAATAATGGACTGTCTTCTAAAGTAAACCTTTATATAATATAAATGGATTTATCCTTTCTCCATTACCCTAGTGGTTTTTGCAAAGTGAAATGGCTCTAGAGTGCTGAGTAGTAACTCTGGAATGTCTTACTAATTGAAGCTGTACCTTTCCTACTACCTGATAGTTCTGGAACAATATAAACATTGGCAGGAGAGTAGAATCTTAACTGCATTGCAGTTCTTAATTCTGCGGCCTTAAAAAGGTTTTTAAATATGCTTTGCCTTGCAGCAACAATTTACTTCCATACATAACCCCTTTTAGTAACAAATGCATTAAATAGAACTGCTTAGAAATTTGAAGATGCCAAGTTCTGTGAGAAATTTGAAAAATTCTGTCAAAATTAATTCTGTATTTTGATTCTAAGGCCTGTGATTTTGGGTGTGAGTCATTCAATAAAGTATAAAATCTAGTTGTCTATAATATCAGAATGTGCTGAAGGGAAAAAAAATAATTTGATGGGGAAACTTGATGTGAATCTGTCTTTTGGACTGAATTTTATATAACTGTGTTAAGTTTATAGCCTCACGTTATCATGCTAGGAGTTAATACTTTGGGGTATTAAAATTAAAAATAAAGTTGGACAAGTTTTCAGGTCTGATAGAAGTGCATGTATCTCGTGATGTGTTGTTAGCATTTGCAGGCTCCTTAACCTCTCTTTATAGGGAAAAACATACTTATATTGAGTGAATGTTCACCTCAAAAAGGTGTTAAGTAAGTATCAAATTTTAAAAATGTTCATATTTAAAATTGTAACTTTTTTTGTTCATTAGGTGTACGAGTATCAGGATTTTTAAGTGAAGAAGAGAAGAAATACCAACAAAAAAGCATTAAAAGCTTCTTAAAATCAGGAAAAGAACTTGATTTTCCAAGGCTTCAGCCAGGGAAACCCAATCAAGAAAATCTCACAAAAACCTCAGAAGCATCTTCCAAAGGAAGTTTTTTTGATAAAAAGCGAGCTGCAAGGCAACTAAACTGTAATAATAATGTTTTTCCAAATGAAAGTGTAGGTAAGCAGCACTTTTGTGGTGTAAACTCATCAGCAGATTTTGTGGAAGAAGCAAACAAGGTCACAAACTTGCAGAAGTCTAACATATGTGAGATCTTCACGTGCCCTGTTTGTTTTGAGGAGCAAAGTAGTGTTAATTTGGAAGAGATTAATAGGCATATTGATGAATGTCTTGCTGGCAGTCTAGTTAAAGATACTGTGGAAATATCAAAAAATGACATTTCAAGAGAAAATACTTCTAACTTATCACACTGCAAAAATGAAAATATTGACGATTGTAAAGAAAATATAACAACAGATCAATTAGCAGGAACAGACCAGTCAGCAAGTACATCTGAAAGCTCTTCTGGCAATAGCAAAGAGAAAAAATTCACTCAGATAGTCTCAGAAAAACCTCACAGAGAAAAACAGCCTTGTGATCTCATTGATATTCCTAGAAATGCAAGCATAAAACAATGTCTGTTTCCCAAAAGAAATTCACAGGAGAATGCAAAACAGTTTGGAAGGACAGATCATACAGAAGGAACTAGTTCATCCTGTTCTTTTGAAACCAAAGAAGACAGTGTTCTTGTTTGTCCAGTTTGTAATTCAGAACAGAAAACCACCAGCCTTGTGTCATTTAACAGACATGTAGATGTCTGCTTAAACAAAGGCCTTATCCAGGAGCTGACAGAAAAAGATGATTGTTCTGCTAAGACTTCTGATACAGAAAATTCAATCAGAGTTGGTGAGTAGGCACATTAAGATATCTTTGGTTATTCACATTATCTACTTGTGTAATGCCAGTAATCTATAGTTGTAGCTGTACACTTTTAACTTTTCAGGACATTTCAAGATATTCATTGGAGTAATATCTGTGTGAGAGAAAGCACCTCTATTTAAAAGATGTCAGATCAGTTTTATTGACAAACAAGGTTTCTGAATGAGGTGTTAGTTACATAGTGCACTCTATGCACCCAATTTGCACCACTATGCACCCAATTTGCGGCAGTGGTAATGTAGGAATTACTTGTCATTTCTGTAAATCCTGTCTGCTCCCTTGTAACCATAATCAGATTGGTGTTTCTGAGATTACTGAAATTTAGGTGAAAATTACTGAAAATGTCATTAATCTAGATCATTTCAGAGGTTCAGTTGACAGAAAAGTTTAATTAATGTGCTGGCTAAAACAGAGGTTGTGAGCATAAAGGCAGGCACTGCTAATGTGATGTTCTTCCAGTAAAATTTGTCCTGTAGCTGTACCTACAACATGCTAAACCCATAGCCTGTTTACTCAAGTAGTTTCTCTTTTTAATGAAGCATTAACCATTGGCCAGATTCAGTTCCAGTATTGTTGAATTAAAAAAAAAAAAAAAGGAAAATCTTTATCCAAAACTGCTCTTGCAAAAGTTCTGCTATGTATATGATTTCTGCATTGTTCTTAATTTACTGAAGTAATACATTTTTATTGTTTCCAATTACTCCTCAGGAGGGTTAGACAGAGGACAGCAGTGCACAAAACCATTACAAGGAACAAAAAGGTAAGGTTATTCAGAAAACTACGTACTCAACTCATATTTTAAAGTATTGAAGTTAAGAAAAAAAACAGTTTTAATGTTCTATAAATATCTATTGTATACTTATATATTAATTTTATTTTTACTTTTAGGTCTGGACCAACAACTTCACAGTCAGCATCAAAAAAGGCTAAATCAATCAATTCCAAGCGTACAATTGAAATGTTTTTTAAATGACAGTGGAGCAGTGTACTTCATATGAAGTATTTCGTAGCCTTTTGTGACTGCATATTAATTTAGCATTGGTGGTGGGCTGGATTCAGATGAAATTTGGCTGGATTCACATCGGAACCATTGTATGCTTATCATGCTCTGTAAAAAGAATGATACGTGAGGTAGAAGAAGAGATATAACTGAGGTAATCCAATTTTTTGGAAAATAATACTTTTTTAGCTTATGAGAAATGAAATTGCTAGCACTTAAGAGTTCTGTTATATTGAACATGCGAAACTTTGTTAGAGTCACATGCAGTCTCATGTATTGTCTCTGCTGTTCAACAAAATAGAACAGGTTCATTAGAGCTGCCATGGAGCAGATCTGCATGGCAAGCACCTGAGAAAGAGGGTCTCATGAGGTGGAATGTCACATTGTGCTTGTTGATGTCCCCCTTCGAAGATTTGATCTGTCACCCTGTCTGCAAGGCAGTGAGTTAGCAACCGTAGTTGCTCAAGTTAATGCTTCCTTGGACAATCAAACACCAAATTAATTTGTGTGATAACATAGAAGAGCCACGCTACTTCATTTCAGATCTTGTGAAGGTCTGTCTTGTCACTGGACCAAAAACTGGTTGGTCAAAAAAGAAGAATTCAGAGCACAGACAAGCTTTTATTGTTATCACTGAAAATTACTTCAGTATGAGGTGATGGACCCACCCTGAAGGGCTCTCTGTGATGAGATGCAGGATGCCTTTGCTTGATACTAAAAATGTTAATAAACTGAATGATTAGAGGATTCTTCCAGATTAGTTGAACAAATGCTGTTTGATCCTTGACCTCTCCAAGGGGACTGAGAACTTCAGTTGTCTTTGCTGTTGTTAAATTGTACCTGTTGGTAGGGCTAAATTTAATATAAATCAGTGTGCAATAATAATGTTGTATAAATATGTGCAATATGCTAAAATGAAGTATTCTTACTGTTTATCTTTATTTAAAATTGTTTTCTATTTTTAAATAAATTGTATTTTATGAGTACTCAAGTGGAAGTTTTAGAGTTCAAATATTTGAAGTACTCTATAATGATATTCTTCTGTTTACACTAAATTGCTTAGATTTAGATTTTTTATAGTTGATTTATGACGATAACTTCTTTCTTAGAAGTTATGTGTACAGTCACAAACCCTTGAAGAAATATGAACTTTTAAAAGTGGATAATCTTTAAAGTGGCTATGATAGAAGCTTCTGTTCCGTTGCTTAATTATATGGGGATTATTCTGTGGCTTACTTTTTTTTTTTTTTTTTTTTAAAATATGTATTTTTGGTGCTTAGGCTAAATCCAGAATGTATCTATCTTTTCACTTCCAGATTTTCAGTAATAATTTCAATATCTCTTACCTGCCAGGTGCCACTGTACCTGCAGATCTGTAATTTGAATTCAGTGCTCCTTAATCTGCTCTGGACAAAATAAGCTAGGCTAGCTCATATTATTCTGCAGTCTGACAGCTGACCTTGTGCAAACAAAGTCAGTGAGCAGTCAGCATTAGCTGTTCTGCTGACAGAGGGGGGAGCTGGAAATTTCTGGTAGGAGAGACATTAGAACAGCTGAAGGAGCAGTGAGTACTGTTTAAAAAAAAGAAAAGAAAGAAAGAGTGGCTGTCCCTTTATTGATTTACATATGTCTAATTTAATAAAGTGTAGAATCCAAGGTAACTTACCAATGTGCGTGTTTATTTAAAGTTTGCTATTTTGCATGTGCTTTACTTAGCAAAAGGACAATTCCTGAGTGCTTGGAAAAATGAAGCTAGTCTAGCTTAGCTTGGAAAACTATCACCTGTTTTTAAAAAGCTGTCACAGATTTGTTTTTAAGTATCATAAAGTTAAAATTATGGAGTATGTTAGATTTAATGTGGAAATAAAGCCCATATGATTCAAAATCCAGAAGTGTCTGTCTTTTGAAATGACGCGTGAAATGTACCCATCTGGAAAGGTTGCTTTGTATGTATAAGGAAAGTGCCTAGTCCTTCTAAATCATCTCTCAGATGATTTCTTATGCCACTTTTGTTACTGTTCCTATCTAAAGAAGTCCTTCTGTTCAGGATAAAGTACTGTCAGAAACTTGTGATGCAATAATTTCTTCTCAGTTCTTGTGAAAGCTGTGCTAGCAGTGTTTTTGTTCAGCATATTTCTCTGACTGTTACTGTGCTGTCCGTCGGTAATAACTGCAGTTAACTAAACTCAGTTTTAACTTGCATCTGGAAAGTCTTCATAAGTTGCATGTTTCTAACTTAACGTGTAAATTGTTTCTTGTGTGAACCATTCCACACTTCCTATACTTACAGTCTTGAAGCACATCAATGATCTAGGACGGCTGCAGATGAGGATTTTCTCACTTATTTAAGGTAGATGTGTATAGAGTGATAGAAGAAGAAGAACTTGGACGTGACTCAGCAGTGTGCACTTTCAGCCCAGAAGACCAGCAGTACCCTGGATTGCACCAAAAGAGGGGTGTCAGCAGGGAGAGGGTTAGGTGTTAGGAGAAAACTCTGTACTTGGAGGATGGTGAGGCTCCCAGAGGTGAGGCTGCCCAGAGGACCTGTAGATGCCCCATCTCTGGAGGAATTCAAGGCCAGACTGGATGGGGCCCTGGGGAACCTGATCTGGTGGGTGGAATCCCTGTCCATAGCAGGAAGATTGGAACTGGATAGTCTTTAAGGTCGCTTTTAACCCGAGCCATTCTGTGTGAAATAATCTTGAATTCCTTTTCTACCTATGGACAATAGAGAACAGGATGGCATTTCTGTGATCTTAACATTTTTCACTACTTCTGAAGAAAGGGATGCACAAAACATTTATCTGTGAGAAACATGCTTGCCCTCAGTGGAACAATTACGGAGATGTCCCTCTTAAAAACAAGACTTTCTTGAGTTTATCTTGTAAACTCTCAATCCTTAGAAACATAGACTGTAGAGCAGCATTCTCTTATTTAATCTGTTTACTGCTGTTGTAATATCTTTACATACTTTCAGATTTTGGAATACCTTATATGCAGAATGTCTTACAGTGGTTGGATGACCTATTTTTTTATTAGTTGTCTGGCTTGGATATCTCAGTCCTTATTTTTAGAAATGTTCTACTGGGAATAAATAAATACTTTTGTTCATGCCATTTTGTTTTTGAAGTTGCTGAATTTCCATGTTACAATTCTGTAGACAGGAACATCAGCAGCATGGAGTTTGGGCTTGAGTTGCTCTGACGGCAGCTTGATCCGTGCTGGGAGTTATTACAGGTTTATCATGTCCCTGTCTCTCTTACACTGCAGTATGCAGATCCAGTGAAGAGACTGAACTGCTGAAACCATTAGGAACAACCTGCAAGGGAGCCTAAGGAACAGCCTGCAGATGCTGAAGGTTTTTTTACCAGCTGTTTGTCTGGGGATCTTGCTATACATTTTCTTATTTCCATTTTTGTATGTGAGCACCTGTTCAGTTTGAGCATCTACACTTAGTTGTCCTTATTAGTAATCCAAACCAAAGGCAAGCTGCAGCCGGTAGCTGTAGCAATAGAAGATGAGGGAAGGAGAGAGTGTAACTGTAAGGTGCTGAAGTTGCATAGACCAACAGTTCGTGCACCAGGTAACTTGGAAACTGTAGATTCCAAAAACAGAGTGTAATATACAACTTAATAAGAACATAGTAGTTGCTTTCTTGTTTCTAGCGTTTAAAGTCTTAGCATTTAGAGTGAAATTTTTGCTTGTTCTTTATGTACTATTCAACATGTGCTTGTCTTACCTTTTTTCTTCATAATGGTTCCACTTGTTTATGAATTTTTAACTGTACCATTATTTTATTTTAATTAAAAACTACTGTTTCTTGGCTTTTTGTAATTTTTTTTAAACAAAAAGATGCTCAGAGTTTGTTCTGTTCTTAGCTCATGGGCAGAGGAGTTCGTGAGGAGTCTGTGAGGAGTCTGCAAGTAAAAGAAATGTTCCAGTAGTTCCTTGCTCTGCACTTTTTAATGGATTCTGAGTTTTCAGATTCTGCATCAGCCTTTTCTGCAGGTTGCTGGGGCCATTTGAAAGTCGGTACTGTGGGAAGTGGTTAGAGAATGTGGTGAACTTACTATCTGCAGAGTTTGGGTGCATAACGTATTGCTGTACTGGGAACGTTAGTTAAGAGAGCTGAGGGATACGCTGTGAAATGAGATTGTCTGATAGCAATTAGTAAGTGGAACTAACAGCTGTTTACAGACTCTGTCTGAAATCATGATCCTAATAGCTTAAAGATTTCTGCTATAACTTGTGTTTCTTCCTTTGGGACCAGTTGTATGTGCTGAATCTAGTAATCATAAAGTTGTTTGTTGCCTCATTTTGGAAAAAGAGGATTAATGTTGCCAGCTGTGAGGCTGTACTACCTACCCAGTGGGCACACAGAAATAAACCTCCTTCCTCTTAAGAAGTTTCACTGCAATGTTTGACTCACAGGAAGAAACTGAGAGTGTGTGATGGGCTAAATATTTTGAGTCTTTCACATCAAATTTGCCATCAACACATACAGTGTTAATAATCATGGACTGTTCAAGTTACAAAGAAAAAATCACAGTGAAGGAACTCAAGTTGCGTAAGGCTGACTAGTGATAGTTCTGCATTCTTTGAGCTACTTTTCTAATATTAATTTTAAAATAATGCTAGGAATGCCAGCTACTGCTTTTAAAGCAAAATTTGACCCAATCGCTTTGAAAGACAGCAATTTTTATGCCCTATCTCAGGCAGTGACTGTCTGCATGAAATGAAATAATCCGTGCTGTGCTGGTGTAAGTAAACGAAAGTAACTGTGGACCTGGAATTCAAGATTAATGAGAATTTCCTAATTAGACAGATCTCAATATGGCGATCCACTAAAACTGCCATATTGATGTATTGGTTTTGACCGGACTTGGACAAAAAACATGTAAAAATGTTCTCTGAAAACAAACCTAAAGTCCTGTGACTGGATTAATTCCAATGGCCTCTATTACTGTACCACATGCTCCTGTTTCTGTCCAAATTAGGCCGTTTCTGTCTCTCGTGTCCCAAGAGCATGCCGTGCCTGCAGGGGACTCTCCAAACTGGTGATGATCAAAAATGGAATAATTCCAAGAGCAATTTTTCCCAAAGTGGCCTGCAGCTGCTGATAGGGCTGAGTGACGGTGTGCTGCTGCACGCAGCAGTGGAGTGGAGCCCATGGCCTGGCTGGGTGTGTTTAAGTCAACTTCAATCCCTGCGAACCGGTTTTTCAGTGCAGCAAGGAAACACACCCCAGGCAAGCCAAGGGCACCTCCCTCTGCAGGGCTGCATGGGGCCCTTCCTGCAGGTGGGGAGAAGAGGAGCTGACAGCCACAATGAAGGGACTGAGCCACCTGTTTCGTGTCAGGGAGGACACAGCGCACGGAGATGCAGCAGCCAACCACAACAGCTGTGAGTGTGTGGGGAGTAATGCCAGGTCTAGCTTTCACTCAGCAGCCCAGTGTATCCTGTAAGGAAATCTGGAGCTGTGGATGTGAAATCACATTTTGGGGTTTGATGCATCTGTCTTGCAAGAGGCTGGCCTGCCTGGCACTCTGCTTTAAGTGCACTCCTGCAGTTGTCTGAATGGGTTCACTAGGGTTAGCCACATGCTTGAGCTCAGGCACATGGAAAGTTTCATAACCAAGTCACACTTCTGCGCTGGACGGGGCATGTAGCACTCGGAGGAAGTTCTGGTCTCATTGCACACAGTGGTGTGACTCACTCTGATGGCAGACTTGAGACTGCAAACTGGTCTCTCACAGAACAGTCTGCTATGGCGTGGGCTGCAGATAGTGAGAGCAGGTTATTTGTGGAAACTGAACGGTAATTATTAAGCCCGACTGTGAACGTGTCCTGTGATTTCAATGTGATAATCACTGAAATCTGTTCTGGGTCATGCTTCCTGTTTCCAGTCTTGCAAAAAGGGTAGGTGAAGATAAGCAATGAATGAAATATCACTGTTGGATGCTGTAAGCAGTCTTCTCATGACTTCTTTGAAATGGAAAAAGGATTGTTTTATCGTTCTCGTGACTTTACAAACCCTCTGTGCTAGTCATTTTGTTTATGATAACAAACATAAAAATGTCAGTAGGTTATTGAAAGAGAAAATGTTACCATGCCAGTAAGTATAATTAATTTTTAGGAACAGTAGAATGAAAATACTTCAAATCTATTTGTTGATATTTTTGTATTTTCCATAAAATTCCTCAGCCAATTCAGATTTCTATTTTCTCCATGTTCTTTTCAAGGTACTGACAGATTCATATTGTGGATATTACAAAAGAAATTTAGAAATAGGGGAAAATGTAGAAAGACTTAGTGTTTAAACTCCTTATAAACTTTTCTATAAACACTGATTCCACTGGTTCACTTTCTGACTCAGTTTATATCCTTTGTTGTTCTACTACTCATAAATGGATCAAAGCCCCTTACAGTAAAATAAGACTCGAATGTGAAGAAATTAAAATTGAAAGTGTTTCAAAATCTGACTTTCTGTAAGGGGGACTCCCTGTTTTCCAGTCGATAAGGCAGTTCACATTTTCTGCATCATTTTATTTCCTTGTCCTTCTAAAAGAGGAGACAGACTGGGATATTCAGCACATTAAGCTGCAATTACATTACAATTAGACTAAATTCTTCTATGCATTCTGTCCCTATGGAGGAAGTCAGCTGACAAAATTAATATTTTTGGTCAGCTCAAAAGTAAAAGTGAAAATAAAATGTAACTATTTTAATGAAAACTGCAGGGCATTCAGTAAAACTGCTTGGGAGAGTCCAGGGAAATGACCCCTCAGAAAAGACTGAAGGCTGCATAAGGGTGGCAGATGGCTGCTAGTGCTTGAAAATCAAGTGAGGGTAATAGTTCAAGGTCTGCCAAATTCTGGAGGATGCAGATTAAGAAGAAATCTTCCATAAATCTATGGTCTGACAGCTCTTGTAATTTCATGCATGAAAATAAATCATTTTGCAAAAGCTGTAGAAAACCGTGCGTAAAGTGAGCACAGTAGTGCACTTAAACTGCTGCTATTCCTAAATCTCAGATTAGGATGTATTGAGAGGGGCTGTTAAGAAACATCGTGTCTTGAGCAAACAAAAAGACTCATTTTAAAAACATGCATCCAGTTTATGACTTCCAAACAGGAGAGGAGAGATCGCTAATTGATTCTTTGTCAGAGCTAAATCAAAATTCTTCTTACTGCACCAATACAGTAACAGAGCACTGCTTTTTCTTGTTTCCTGAGGGCAGCAAACTGCTAGGATTATTCCTGAATGCCCTGGAAAGCAACAGTGCTCATCTTTGCATCTACATGTTTTACGTCTTCATTGAAATGTTTACCAGCAGCCAGTGGGAATGAATATGGCCAAACTAATTGCAGTTATCTGATGCCCAAAGTCCTGTTTCCATGCTTGCTTTGAACAAGATATCCTGCAACCATTGGTTTACCATAGTTGGAGTCAAAGCAATGGAAATTATTCTTTCTGGCTGTACAGTATAAAAACTATAAGTGAGGCATTTATTCCCATCTATTCCCTTTGGGTCTTCTGTTAGCCACTGCTAGAGGTGGAATATTGGAGCAAAGGGACAAGGCAAAATCTTGTAATAAAATGGTGCTATTCTATATGAAAATTGGCTATTTCTTTTAATACTTGAAATCTAATACTAAGGTCTATAGAAACATTACTATTTAACTGTTCTAGTCCTCTGGTGCATTTTTATTTGTGACTGCTTTCTCATTTTGTAAAAGAAAATCTGTCCTGTGATTACAAGAGAATCTAGGAGGATGCTTCTGTTGTATGAGGAACTTGCATAATGTCATATCATGGGAAAGCTGGAAAGAGTTTTGGAACCATCTAGTTTAATTTCTAGTTGTTTGAACAATACTGCTGTGCTTATTCCACTGAGATTATAATAGTAGATAACGTATAGGATTCAATTAAGTGAATGCCACACCAATTTTCTGTGGTATTTTCTCCAGTCATACAGCCACGAGCTATATCTCATTAGATGTTAATGAATTTAGATGAGAGACCCCTGAGGAACTAATTGCTGATGCAATTTTCTAGTTCATCAGAGAATGCTGCTTTCTTTGTTGGTATCATTAGACAAGTGGCCTTCCAGCTTTCGGGCCAAAACATTCTAGATATCCAAGTGATTAACTTCTTGAGTGTGATCTGCTACTAAATTAAGAATATCTTACTGCATTTGATACCCTCATTTCTCCCAAGTACTGAATTAAAAGTTAAGGCAGAAATGTGCTGGTGGAGAAATACTTGTACCTGTAAGTTAGCTTAACTGGTTGTCAGGCTCTGGAATTTTATTTTCCAAATTCATATTAAATATTTTGTTACAGTAGTCCAAATGTATGCTGCATCTACTTTTAGTCAACCAAATAGATGTTCTATTTTTTCATTAAGGCATTAAAGCCAGGTCCTGGCTTAATAGTAAATCCCTCATTGTGATCAGATTTTGAGTTTAAGTTCAACCTTCTTTTTCACCTTCTCTCTCTCTCTCTTTTTTTTTTTTCCAATCCTCTGAATGAACCACTTGTTCCCAGCTGAGGCAAGTCATTTTGTCACTGCTATACATTTTTACGTATTTTGGTGGTATGCTTTGTTGTAAAATAGTGATTTTTCCAAGAATAGAACCGAAGTGCTGCAGTTCATGATGTTCACTGTTGGGCTTATAAAAGGCCTTGAGACGCATTTAGACGACAGGAACTTCACAAATGAACCTCTTGTTCCTGTGAGCAGAGTAAATAATAATAGCCTGTGATGTAAAAAGCCCACTTCTGTTCGCACTTAAAAGTTGATAAACATCAGCCAGCTACCTCTGGAAGGAAAAAGTGCAGTCCTGAAATGTTTCTATGATGAGAAAAAAAGTGATTCACAGCATGTGTGAAATCAGGACAAGTACCAGAAGGTAAGAATAATATCAATCCCTTGAATTTGGTATGGCTATTCTTTTTGTTATATATATATATATATATATTTTTTTTTTTTTTTTTTGCATGTGCCATGCCTTTCTACAGTATTGCCAGATGAGAGAGAATTTCAACACGCAGCTAAAACGAACAATTTGGAAACCATGGAAAAGCTGTTTAAGAAGAACCTTAATATAAACGCAGTGGATACTGTGAGTACAGTATGTCAGAAATGTGATGCCTGTGGGGTTGCATAGTGGAAGCCCAGGGTGCTGGTGCTGAACAAGTCCCCTTCTTGGATGTGGTTAAGCAGTGTTCCACATGTCTGGTACGGGCTGAAGAGTTTCACAGAGCGTAACTCTCAGGTCTTTTAATTTAAGGACTTCCAAATAGCGGTCACTGCTCTAATATGGACTGCCTTCCTCTATAATTCCTTCAGTTCTCCATCTTTCGGAGTGGGAAGACTTAACCCCACAGTCACTCTGAGAATGAATTTGTGCTGACTTCACGTGGTGGTGTGAAGCACTATTGCTCAGTGAACCACAGAAGCGTTCTGCCACAGCTTCTGCTTGCAGGTTGAGAACAGAATTCAGATTTGCCGTAAATAGACAAAAATGGATTTCTTACACTGACAGAATCTAAGGACATGATGTTCACAGTGATAAAAATAAAGTGCTGTGCGTTAGAGGTAATTGAACAGCAGTGCAATGGTCTGGGAGTTGTGGAGAACTGGAAGCTCTCTGTAGCTATCTACAAATCCTCTGCCCATGAATGTCCTCACCTCACTAACTCATGGAAGCAGAAATCCTGCTGCCCAAGCTCACAAGCATTTTTCCCCACTGGGGAATTGAGGAGAGTATAGAGCTGCATTCCTAGTTTTCTCTGTGAAAAAGAGAATGGAGACAAAGACTTCTTTGGAGTAAGTTTCTCCAGAAAAATGACAGAGTTCCCATTCACTACATACTTCTGTAAATATTTAGCAGGTGACCAGAGAACCCAGCCACTCCTTTTTGCTTTCTAGAATTCAGGAAATTGAACTAAATACTGTTCCAGTCCAGTACCCTGAATCTTCACTCTTGTTCTCAAGTCTATAGTGTGAGATTTACTAGCAGAGGTGCTCGGCTGTTGTGCATTGACTGATGCTCCTAGTAGGGACTTAGTTTATGCTGGCAAAGCAGTTCTTGGATTTCTGTTGATTTTTTCCACTCATTGTACTTCCAAGCCAAATAAGCAAGTCTGCCAAAAGCCAAGTTCTGCTGATAAAACTATTCCTGTGTAAGAAGCTTTTCCTGGCACAAATCCCACCTGTTTGTCTTTAACTTGTATAGCTGTGGGTGAAGAGCTGAAACAGCTGATCTGCACAGAACAAATCCAAACTGACTTTTAAAATTAATTGGTTAAGTCACATGGAAACTCTAAGTGAATTACGTTAAACCCAATTATGGTCACTGTAATTAAAGGGAAATTCTTTCCACTGAGGCTTAATTCATTTTAACCAATCCCTTTTAAGTTCACACTGTCAGTTACTGCAATGAAAAATTGTTTCTGATAAACCTTGCACTATTAAAAATTACTCTGTTTGCAAGGTGGGAGACTTTATTTGCATAAGTAATGTCTCATTCTGTGAAGGTGACTCAGTACTGACAGAGGGAGGAATTCTCTCATGTGTTGCAGGCATACAGAATAAAGCAAGGAAAATATGAAAAGTGGAGATAATTGTGTAAATCCAGACCTCAAATCTTCATATTGAATTGTGTAACAAAGATGTTTCAGGCATTGCATATATCTCCTCCAGGTGGTGTGCGATTACTTAGACCCAGTCTGACAGTGCATTTCAGAGAAGGGGTCGTGTTGCCATATACAGTAACTTCAGTAAATAAACCGTTCTGGTTCTCTATGAAATTTTTATGATCAATGTGTAAATGATCTCCAAAGGAACAAAAATACCAAGACCAATGTAGACCTAGCTGCAGGGGGAGCTATGCAAATGTATATGTATAATAACCACTATAGTTATTTATAATCAAATAATTCAGAAATCCTGGTGTTTGCAATAAAAAGAACTTCATTACGGATCTGATAGCCAAAGCTTTGCTTATTGCAGTTGAAGCGCACTGCACTGCATTTTGCTGTTGCAGGAAGTCACACGTCTGCGGTGGATTTTCTGCTCCATCACAAAGCTAGAGTTGATATGGCAGATCAGGTAAGTTCCCCTGTATCTGTGGCAGCTTCATATTCAATCACACTTGTATAGGATTAATTTAATAGCCATCTGTATATTAAAACAAACTCTGAAAATAAAAATTAGATCTGGGTATTAGTGGGATTCCAGAGAATGACTGCTTGCATCTCCTTCCTCCATTCTTTTGTGAGTGAGCAGCTTAATGCACAACTGTCAGCTATTCTGCATCCTCCAGGACTTGAAGAGCTGTGCAGTGTATGGTTCAGTTTTCCTTGGGCCCGACAGGGATTCATAGTGCAGGTTTTGATTCAGATGTTAAAATCAAATGTATGATACGTTATTAATGATCAGACTGTGCAAGCTAGGAGTTTTCCAGTGAGCTGTAATTTGTTTCCAGAGAACTTATTTGTTCAGTTATTTACTTACCTATCTTTGTATTTCATCCTGAATAATGAAAATCAGATTAGTCATTCACCATTTTTTTTCCTGCTTTGCCTCTCTCTCCTTACCCTGCATATGCTGCAGTGTTTACACTGTGAGAAAGAAAAATTCCAGGCTGGACGAGTGGGCAGAAGGGAGAAAGTTTTCTTGTTACTCTGTGTTGGAATGGAAACAAGATATGAGAAACAAGATGTGAGAGACTGTGCCAGCATCTCGTTTTGGCATTTGTTCTGCTGAACAGGAAAGCTGCCTACTGTCTGTCTCTGTTCCAGTAGCTCAGGTTCATGGCCTTGTGCTGCCCAGCCCGCAAATACTCACATACAGAATGAAGGCACTGCTTCTCTGTGGAAAACTCTTTTTCAGTGACCCTCTCCTGTGTTTGCTGAGGCAGTAAGATGCTGCAAAGTGTAATTATAGGCCTTTTACTGGTGGGATGCATTGAAGCCAGTTAAGACAATATGTATTTTATTTGACAGTGATTCATGAACTCTTTGGCAACCAATTTGATATTGCAGTGGGTACACATTAGAGTGAACACACTGTGACTTTAGTTCTTACTCTATTTTAGTTTCTGACTTCTTTTTATGCTACTGCAGGATTGTAAACATTCTTAACATAACACAAAAAGCAAGCTGATAAAAAACACCCAGTGGTGGTTTTACCGGCATTCTCTTCCACCAACGGTACTTGTTTTGCTATCCAGCTACTCAGCCTGGCCTCTGACTTGGAATTTCTGAAGGCCAGCCCTGCTGGTGCAGGCTGAAGCAAAGAAGGCATTCACTGCCTCAGCCTTTCACCGTTCTCTGTCGCAATTCAGCAAAACTCCCATTTCCTTAGTCTTCCTTTTGTCATTGAGGTACTTCTGGAAAATCTTTTTGTTGCCCTTGGCATTCCTGGCCAGATTCAATTCCAATTAAATACACAAGTGTGTTTAGCCAAAGCAAGATTCATGACTGCAACCTTTTTTTTTTCTACAGTAGTCTTAGATGAGTTAATGTATTTCTGTGTTGTTTTTACATAGTAGATGAAGTGTAGGTATGATGACTCTGACGTTCTACAGGATCTTGGTAGACCTCTTGTAAGACACCTATGGATAAGGCTTGGATTACAGATAGGAGTCAACCTACTGATTCCTCATTTATGGGCGAGAAACTGGGGAAAGATGACAGCTGTGAAAGAATTATTTTGCTCCGTTTTGCCACCTTTACGTTCCTCTGACTATCTAAGGGTTGAGGTGCTTTTAAGCCAGATTTTGAATGTCTTCTGAGTTTTGTGCTTACACCCAGCACATAACAGAACGAGTTGCGATTTATGATGCTGCACCTGGATGCAGAATACACAGAAACAGGAAGAGAAGTGGAAACACTGAAGAGTAGAACTATGACCAAAACAGGAGACAAAGAGGATTCTGGCTTTCTTCTGGCTGAAAGATGCTTCTGTCTTTTTCTTTTGGGTCTAAGATATTAATGACAGGAAGAGCTGTTTGCTTGTTTGATTGGCTGTTTTTCTGAAAGAGGAAAATTCTTAAGAGTAATTTGAAAGAAGAACTAACTGGAAAATCACAGTGACTCATGGAAATGCTCTTCTTATATATTATTACCTGAAATGTCATCTACTGCACCAAGAGCTAACTACTTCAGGTCATTAGTCAGTTTTTGGAGAGAAACTTTTCAGGAATTGCTTCATTTCACAACAGGATTAATCCTTTTGAGGAGATGCCAGATCTTCTGCCAAGGAGAGAGACAGCCTGAACTTTTAGTGTAATTTAAGTGAGGTGAATCCCAATCACACTGTCAGGTGACAGTGCTGATCTTCTAGAGCCCGTGGAGCAAAACCAACTCATACACTATATTAATCAAAAAGATTAAAATAAATCTGACAGAAGGGGTTTTGTTTGGTAATTTCTGCCTTTTTAATTTCTTTTTTTCATTTATTTTTTGAAAGCATGGCCTGACAGTGATCCATCTTGCAGCTTGGACTGGAAATCTGGATATAATGAGGAAATTAGTTAAAGCTGGTGCTGATCAAAAAGCTAAGAATGAGGTGTGTTGATGACAGGTTTCTACCAACTCTAATTATGTTGACGGTGGGTAATGATCAAACCTGCACTTACAGACATGCTTGTGGTTTTTCAGGAAGAAATGAATGCACTGCACTTTGCAGCACAGAACAACAGTGTTAAAATAATTGATTATTTTCTCCAAGATCTTCATCTGACTGACTTGAACAAGCCTGATGGGGTACAGTATGTGCTTTTCTGATTTCTTTGATGTCATGAGGAAACTGCTGTGGGCAAAACAATCTCAACTTTGGCTTTTCAATGAATTTAAATTTATGGCAACTTATATGAAGTTTTCATTACCAGTTTTTCAGTTTTGGGTACTGAGAAATAAATAAGACAAACGGCCAGACAAGCACATAGAGAAAGCACCGTTCCTCCCTGTTTGCTGGTCTCAGCTGAACTCCAGATACCTCTCCTCCCCTGCTCCTTTGCTTTCCTTGCACATGATCTTCAGGCCCACAAGTGAGACAGTGAGATACAGGTTGGAGTGAATCCACAGAATTCTTTTTATTGCTAATTCTGTTTTCTTTTCTTTTCCTCTTTTCTTGTCAAGGGCTACTCCATGGGTTGCATGGCTGCTCTGGGAGCGCACCTCATGCCTGCTATGTCCTCTCCTGTTTTCTCTGGTATCTCCCTATGCACTGTAGCAGTGTCTGCTATTTCTTTTATACCTTGCAGAGGTACCATGATTTCCTCTGATGGGTTCAGTACTAGCACATGGTTTTGTCCCTGAGGAGCTTGCTGGAAGCTGTTGTGATCAGCATGAGGTTGTCACTGAACTCCTCCACACAGCTCATCCCTGCCACCCTCCCACGCTGTGCCCCCTAAACCTGCCAGGGAAGGCAGACATGGGCATCTTTCACTAATGGAGAGCATGAGACCACGTACAGCCATTCTACAGAGCTGCACCAACTCTTCAGCAGTACCAAGGCCTTCATGGTTTGCTATGCTTGTGTTTTTCCTGCCCGTTATCCTGGAATCTCACTTTGAGGACTTACTTAGCTAAGCAGGATATCTTCTCCCCATGTAAGGAAAAAATATTCTCCTGGGTTCTGCCACCAAAAGAGCAAAGCTCCCCCCTCCTCTTCATTGAGCCTTGAATTTTATTGACCAGATTGTACAAAGCCCTGAATTCTGTCTACACGTGGCAAGGCTGACGTTAACAAGAGTTTGTTAAGCAAAACAAACCTCTGCATTTTAGAATCTTAGAATTCTTCTCTATATTGAGGCTATTTCAGAAGTGTCAAACATTTTCATTTGCTTAGATATTTAATACAGGCCACTTTTGCCTAGCATCTGCAATTGGTCTCATCATCTGACCAGTGGCATTATTTTATGTTGGGGTAACTTTCCATAGCTGAGCTGTAAACAGCTGGAAAAGTTTTTGTTAATTTTAACAAAATTCAGAGTAATTTAGAATATTTTGAGCACATTTTATACCTTATTTGCTGCCACTTCTAATCAGTTTTCAAATATTTTCTTCAGAATATGAAAGATGTTTGGTTTTTTTTTACACTACTTAATTTTTGCCTTTAAAAAAAATCTTAACTTTTCATGTTTATACCTGATGTGATATAGAATAGAATAGAGATGATATAGAAATGTTTCGTGTATACACCTACTTTTCTGTCATATATAAATGTTCATGGAGAGCAACACATATATGCCGTATATCTGGTAGCAGGAAGGAGGCTATTTTTCTTTTCCATGACAATGTATTCCTTTCCAAACTGTCTTCTAGAATGGTAGAAAGCCATTTCTTCTGGCAGCAGAAAGAGGCCATGCTGACATGATAAATAATCTAATAGCTCTAAATCTGTTCACGACCGAAAAAGATAAGGTAATGGTTTCCTTATTTGCTTGTGGGATATTACTTTGTTTTGATATAGTTAACTACACAACTAAGCAATGTGAACAAGATGTGCCATGGTGCTGACAGTGATACATATTGGACTGACAACTACCACAACGCTGACGGTTTTTCAGTAATTAAGGAAGGAAATTGGAACTTCTGGCCTTGTTGCTGGGTATCTTTTCCATATGCATCAGTAATTCCTGCAAGGCAAGGCTGATGGAAGAAGAGGGGCAGTCCGGGCTGGAGGTGCTACTCTCTGCACTGGCAGATTAGGTTCTCCTGTTCTTGCTGCTCTGCTCAGCTGCACCACTGCAGAATCCCATGTGACTAACATTAAAGGTCTTGGAACGTTTCAGTAGATAAATAAGCTCTGATGGGGATTTTTCAGAAATGCCCAAATCTGACTGAAATTGCTTTTGACACTACATTTAAAGGTGGCTTGGCTAATTTTCAAAATCTACCTTTAAATTTCCTTACTCCTTACATCGTTATTTGTGGAATGAGCATGTTAGCATTTCTCTGCCTCTGTGACATTGCTAGGGTAAAAACATGGTGTAGTCCCCATCCTTGTAGGATCCAGATCCCAAAGTTTTATTCTGATTCAGTCTTTAAGAGTTAGAAGTGTAGGAGACTTTTTTCTTTCTTTCTCTCTCTTTCTTTTTTCCTTTTTTTTTTTTCCTTCCTGGTAATACACTGCTGTTTTCAGAGCATGAGCAACCATCTGGACCAGAAGGGTCACAATTGCACGCATGAGGAAAGACTCCCTTCAGAGAGTTCTTGCAACATGCTATGGGTCTTCCACCTCCCACTCATAAGTAACAGAGAAGCAGGACAAATGTTGAAGTGCACGCTTAAAGTTCTTAAAACTTTCAGTTTATTCAGAATTTTAAAATATCTCCTTTGACATTTCAATTCCGAGGAGGGAAACACAGCCCTACATCTGGCAGCTAAAAATGGCCACAGTGAAGCTGTAGTGATTCTGCTCAAACACTGGGATGAAGTAAATGACTTCAATCAGGTGAGGACATAAATTAACCAATGAGTTAAAGTTAGAGATTTGAAAAAAACAATTAAAATCAACATTTTAAAGGTATAATTTTTACACTGAATGGACTTCATGAGTTCTGCTTCCCCAGTGTGTTTGTATCCTGTTTCATTGTCTCTGCTCCATTAGATTCAGCCCTACTAACATCTTCCATGTCTCTTGCTCTGTCCTCTGTTCCTCATACGAGTTTCTCTCTCTTTTTTTTATTTTTAATTTGTGTGTGTGTGTGTTGTATGTGTCCTGTTTACAAGTAGAAGGAAATAGTCCAGGAGGAGTAAAAGATATCCACTTCTCAGCAAAAGGCTAAAGGCTTGTGGGCACAATGGCTCCTTTTTATCCAGATAGTTTTTTTTTTCTTTCTCTTTTCTTTTTTTCCTCATCTATGAAGGGCTGAAGCACAGAAATCCTTTTGAAATATGAAGCTCTTATGGTTCCAAGATTTGCCTAATAAAGGTGTTTCTTCCACACACAAAGCTTGTGCTGCTTGGCCAGGGTTAATGGAGCAAATGACTTGCCTCTCCATCTGGAGATCTTCCTTTCTGTGCAGAGCCAAGTCTCTCCCATCCCACCATAAGCTATGTACTCTGACACATTCATGTCTGCCAAAATGATGGTGGCAGGAAAAGATGAGGAGTTGGTAATGCCTCTGTGAATTCTAAAGCACTAGGGAGGTTTTCAGTAAACCTTCATGTGTTGTAGAAGTTCAGAAATGGGGATCAGATCCCTGTGCAGATCATTTACACAGGTATATTCTTTTTTTAGACTAGCCGTGGAGAAGTAAAAGACTTCTCCACAGAGAGATGTGAAATAAACATGTAGCAGAAATGTTTTTATTAAAAGTGCTCCTTGTAGGTAAAGCTTGACTTGAGGATTGGTAAGAAATCACGGCGCTGGACTGACATAAGCTGGCGCTTATGTTATGTGTCAACATGATAGTGATGTTAACTGGTGTTGAGTGGCAGCAATTGATTGCCAGCATCTTTGTTTCTGCGCCTTTAGACTGTAATGTTCTCTGGAAATAAACAGTTATTTGTATTGTACAATTTCTCTACATAGACAGACTTAGTTGTCAGCCATCACTTAGTTGTTCACGTGTTACCATTTTATTGAGGTATTAGTTTTAGAGCACTCAGATTCTATTCTCTTATGGCCATCTTCCCTTTCCTATTGAGCTGGATGACTGATCAAGATAATCTGTTTAGTGTCATAACTTTATAATCACATGGCATAATTTGGGATAGACATTTTTTCTCTCTGTTGATCTAGAATGGAGAAACTCCATTTTACTTGTCTGTTGAAAGAGGTAATGAAAAATGTGCTGAACTCCTACTGGAAGCAGGAAGTAACATTGATGTTTTAACTCACGTATGTATGCAAAATCCCTTCATCACACTGCTGCTGGCACAGCCCAAGCTGTGGGAAGGGCTTTATCTTCTCTCTTCTGTGTGTATTGACAGTCTCTTTGCTTTGATTATTTTTTAGGAAATGGTAAAAACTATAATCAAGTTGGGAATGGAGATTATGTTAATTGAACAAAACTTGTTTAGAAGATGAGGCTCAGACAAAATTCTATGTTTGATAGAATTATGTTTTAAGGCTTTTTTATTTATTGTCAGCCCAATAGTAAAACATGTGGCTAAGAAATTGAACCAAGCCTCAAATCAACTGAAAAGCCTAGTTTTTGGCAGCTTATATTCATGAACTGATGACAAATCTGTTCCCCACATCTGGTTCTTAGACTCATATGTGTTAAATGTCTTCATCTTGTCTTCTGCAAGAGTATGCAGGGATGCTTGTGATTCCACATGAGTGAGAGCTTGTTTATTATAGCAGAATTAAGGGAACATTTTCTTTTTTTTTTTTTTTTTTTTTACTTAAATAGTAACTACTTAAATAGTGATTTTAAATGTGTTAATGTGACTGTAGCTGCTTATTGAAGGACAGACTGAACTGACAGACTGAGAGATGTGTTGTAGTCTGTGCTTCAGCAAAGCTGACAATGCTGAATTATCTGTTAGTCAACAGAGAGTAAAAGGGACCATGGAGTACTGCTTTTTTTTTTCAGCATGCTTGTTGCATTGCACTAACAATGGGAAGTTCCTTCACTATTCATAAAAATATGTTGCTGATGGACTTCTTCCTAATTTTCCATCACTTCGTCAAATGGAAATGTCTTATTTTGAGAGGAAAGAGGTATATAGTAACACAGATATGAGTGAAAGACTTTTCTGGATTGCTATCTGTCTGTAGGATTTTTTTCTTTTTCCCAGAAACAGAAATGTAAATTTTTACTATCTATAACATTTCTTTCAGAACAACAGCAGTGCATTGCAGGCTGCCATTCAGAATGGACATCAATCCTTGGTCACTTTTCTTATTGATAAGAACATTGACCTGGTCCCTAAACCTGAGGTGAGTGTATGACAACATGCAGAGGTAGTTGGCATGTACTGAGGGCTGAGCACTGTGGGAAGATGAGCAAAGCACTCTGCTTGGACTGAGCTGTGGTAATGCAGGCATCTCTATGTGCCACTCACATATGGGTGCCCCCTACGTGGGACAGAGAGTTGACAATTTATGTGATTTTGAACAGAGGTCAAGATATACCTCAGTGTTTTCAGGCTCTGTGTTCAAAGCGTCTGCTGTCAAAATCTCTCTCTCTTAGGAGATTAAAAAGATACTAAAATCTTCATGCTCCTCAGGTATTACAGATTCTGACATCTAAGATTTTCTGTGAAGAAGTTATTTTCTACTTCTGCAGTGCTGGATAAGAACAGGACATAGACTTTGTGACATATCAGCTACGATTGCTTGTATGTTGTATCATGCAGTTGTAATGATTTATTGTAAATACCAGCCTCTATTTCTGCTGGTTGTTTTGTTGGCTTTCTGTAGCTGAAACAACTCATGGAACAGTAACTTGGGTTTTGGAAATATTTTCAGTGCAGCTCTGTGTGAGAGCTTTATTTATTTCTCTCTAGCCCTAAAGAAATGGTTGTGGTTTATAAAAACACTAATAAGCTGGCTTCTGGCACTGGCGTGGAATTACTTTTTAGCTGTATTTAATGAGAAACTGATGAGTCACAGGCTCAACAAGAAGAGTGATCTTGCCAATCTAATGGTTGGATTGTGACTGGTGTTGGAACAGTGCCCCAGTTATTTGCATGAATAATCACTCAAATACAAGAACTTAATTTCTTTCTAGCTTTAATTTGCTTCCTTCAAATATTACAGCAAGTCAGGTTATTATGAAGAATAACTACGGCAGCACTGTGGTACAAGAGTTTATTTCTGGAAAGTAGATTCTGACTACCGTATGCCCAAATCAGAATCATTCCATCTCTGAAGGAACAGAGCAGGGGCAGTGGCACACCCCGGCACGGATGTACAAAGGGGTGCCTTGCTGTAAGCATGGTGCTCTCTGCTGTGACAGCTGTGGTCCCTGATACCCCAAGGTGTGCTGTCTGCTGGATCCCATCACCCCTGCACCCCCGTGGCAAGGGATAGACTCAGGAACAGGAATGTCTTTCTTCTTTGAACGAACCTTTAATGAATGCACTGAGTGTAACAACAACTTGTTTTCTCTCCACAGCAGAAGAATTCCCCTCTGCATTTAGCAGTCATCAGTAATCATCTGCTGATTGTGAAAAAACTCTTGGAAGCGAATCATGACATAAACTTCTTAAATCATGTAAGGAAAATGGGGATTTGTAACTGTTTCACTGCTAAGTGGTGATTATATGAATTTTGCTTGCTTCTTTTCTGCTTGTGAGCTAAAGGTATTTTAAAAAAAAAAACACAAAAAAAGGAAGAGGCAGTTTCCTCATTGTATTTTTGTATGTGTACATACTGTTAGTCACAGGTACGTGCTGTGCTAGGAGTGTTTGCATCAAGCATGGACAGCAGAATGTTAGATACTCCAAAATATTTGGATTAGCTTATTGTCCAAGTGTTATGATTCATGCATAATAAATGACAAAAATGTTTCTAAGTTGAATTCAGAGGTAGGTCGAGTGCAGAGTGGCAATGACCTGAACAATCTTATTTTTCTTCCTGCATCCTCACTATAACTCTGTCAGTGTAGTTTTCTGAAGGTAAACACAGAAATTCACCTCCAGCCGGTTCCTGGTCTCTCTTTACCTCCACTTGTTCATCTGGGAATGAGTAAAGTACACACAAGCTTGATCTGCTAATTCAAGGCAGTTCTAGACTGGTCTAGCGAAGTCATTCTAGATTTGAGAGACTGTCTACCCTTTCTCATTAAGAAATAATGGTATCTAACAGAGGTTACTCCATAGGAAAAAAAATTAGGGTTTTCTAATTAAATTTGGAGTACAGGTTTGTTCCTTTGGACGTACATTGCTGTCTGAGTGTGCTTCATCTGGCTAGGATGGAGCTAAATATCTTTAAAGCAGCCCACAGAGTGCTGTGTTTTGGATCTGCACCCCAAACAGCGTTCATAACACAGTGGTGCTTCAGCTGCTGCTGAGCAGGGCCTGCACAGTGCCAAGCCTTTCTTTGCTCCCTTGGTGCTGTTTATTGCTCAGTTTTGCTTTGCCTCTGGAAGCTATGGGAAGAACAGAGGCCTTGAGCTTAATGTGGTGTTTGGGACCAACTTGGCTGCTGTCCCAGTGCTCCAAAACCATCTCATGGAGAAAATCAGCAATCACACCTTTCATCCTTTTCTCCTCTGACACACGTTTTGAGGAGAGAGGGAAGATCAGCACCTTCCTCTCCTTCCTCCAGCCCTGATGTACGGGCAGGGCAGCACCACAGGTTGGAAAGCATTTGGCTGTGAGTGAGGACTGCTCTGCAATAGCTAAAACATCACTGTGTCACCAAAGGTGATTGTCTTCTGAATCCAAAACAGGACACCATGCCAGCAACTACTAGGTTATTATTATTATTACTATTATTATTATTATTATTATTATTACTACCATGGTGCATTGATGGACAGTCAGCTGAATATGAGCCAGCAGTGTGCCCAGGTGGCCATGAAGGCCAATGGCATCCTGGCTTGTATCAGGAGTAGTGTGGTGAGCAGGACTAGGAAGTAATCCTGCCCCTGTACTTGGCACTGGTGAGGCCTCACCTCAAGTACTGCGTTCAGTTTTGGGCACCTCAGTACAGAAAGGACATTGAGGTGCTGGGTAAGTTTAGGTTGGATATCAGGAAACACTTCTTCACAGAAAGAGTTGTTAAGCACTGGAATAGGCTCCCCAGGGAGACTGGATGTGTTTAAAAACCATTTGGATGTGGTGCTCAGGGACATGATTTAATGGAGGGTTGTAAGAGTTAGGGTAGTATGGTTAGGTCATGGTTGGACTTGATGATCTTTAAGGCCTTTTCCAACCTGAGTGGTTCTATAATTCTGTGATTCTATTAGAAAAATTAACTCAATCCCAGACAAAACCACAGCGGTCATAAAACCTTCAACTTAAAAAGTCACTGTATCATGAGGAACAAGCTGTCCAGCTCCACCAGATTTCCATAAGTGACAGCATACCTTCTTTGCTGCTGCACTGTAGCCATAAGCAGCTGGAATAGTTTCCCGTCAGTGCAAACAGTAAAGAAAAGACAGGAAAGGACAACATTTCTTTGTGAACAGGAAACAGATCACCACGCTGCTGAACTCCCCAAGGCACATGCTCCTGGTTTCTTCATGGAGTTCAATGGAAGGATAAATAAAACAAGTTCAATATGGGTGAATGCATCTGTATGAAATGACAAAACCTTGATTACAGACATGAAGATCAGACTACAAGCTGAATGTTCGTCTAGCTGTATTTTCCACATAAAGGCTTGGCTTTATTTTAAAGCTTTTTGTTTTGTTTTTAATTTTTATTTTATTGTGCTTAGAGGATTATTAGTTCCTTTATGCAGCAGGTGGATTTCTGTTCTGCTTTTCACTCCAAATCACCAGCGTGTGGCAGAGCTGGCTAAGAAAAAAGCCCTGTCGTGAACTGCAGCACCATGTTTGTTTAAAAATCATTGATGTCCAGTTGTCTTTACATGAATTTCAGCAGGAAGAGGTTATTTGAGAGGATAATATGGGTATTGGCACTTGCTTTTAACACTCAACCCAAAACTCTGGTTTTAAGAGGGTAGAGCAAGAGTTCCTTACGCTATGATGCATTAGTGGGGCATGATGGCAGCTTTGTCCTGAGCTGGAGTTCCTGTCTGTTTTTCCTGCAGGTATCCCAGATGCTTCCTTCTTTTTTCTGTCTGAAACAAAACTAGAAGTTACTCAAGAGTTACATTTTCTTTCTGTTTGGTATTTTCTAGTTTTCTTGTGAATCTTCTCTAGATTCAAATTGTGTGCATTTTTCTTCTATGTGGAGTTTGGCTCATTGTATTTATTTGGTGTTTTTAATTGCAGAGGCATGAAACTCCCCTACATTTGGCTGCTGATGTTGGCAATGTGGAGATGGTAGAAGTGCTGCTGAAGGCAGGTTGTGACCTCAAGATCATGGACAGGGTAGAGTACCTTCCTCATGCACGCATGGGTTATGTAGCTTTCCCACAAACGCAGGAAGCACATGTTTCCAGTCATCCTTCATGGAATGAGAGCAGCCACGTGTTCATTCTTACAAAGGAAGCTCACTTTTTGTACTGCTTTACCTGCAACTTGCAGTGATCTGGAATAGCTTTAGCAAAGAAGCTGCTTTTGAGTTCAGATACGATTAAAGTACAACACGGACAAAATCTAGGCTTTCAGTCATTTGAAGAGGAAGTTTCCATGCACAAAACTGTCCTGGAGCAAAGCTTTATGAAACTAATGTTACTTTTTTTTTTTTTTTTTTTGGTAGCTTGGGGCTGTGCTGATGGCACGTGCACCAGCACAAAGGACCAGGGACACCCCATTCTGTTCACGCATCCCAGGGAATGCAGCCCTAAGGAGCTCCTGCTGCCTCTGGTCTCCTCATGTATATTAGGCATTCTGTAGTAACTGGGTAGTTGAAACATTCAATGATTTAATGGCAGAGCCTTCTAATGAAGGGGTTGGCTTCTCTGCAGTCTAACTTTCTGGAATGCCTAGCAAGAACATTGCCTGAGTGTTTGTATCTGAGGTGTCTCCACTTGGTGCAGGCCCACTGAAGAGGACTGATTATGGAGAGAAACGTGGAAAGCATTGAAGTGCCTGTACACCAAAGTGTTGATTGCTGAGGTGGGCTCAGATGGACTGGGATAAAAGCACAAAAAGAATGGGGTTTTGTCAACACAGCTCATGTGTTTCCTCTGTTCTATGCTTGTATATATGAGATGATCCTGATTCACTCTCTCTGCTTTCAGCATGGAAGAACTGCACTTGCCGTGGCTTCAAGGAGCAATTACGCCCTCATTGTAGATATGATCATTAAAGCAGAAAGGCATTATGCCATGGAACAGGTGAGAGACATCACGGAAACACAGAATCATAAAATGGCATGGATTGACAGGGACCTTAAAGGACATCCAGTTCATTTTCCTCCATCATACCCTACATACAGAGAAAAAAGGTGGAGAACATTCTGACCCAAATTAAAACTAGGCCGTCGGCATTAGGCTGCAGTGCTTTGGTGCTTCAAAATCCGTAGCTGATGCATGGAGGAGCTCAGGCATCCGCCTTCCATTTACTAGGAAGAACTCGTCGCTGCAGTGGGAGCTCCCTCTTCTGTTCCTCCTATGTTAATTGCTGAAATGAAAGGGAACAGGAAAGAAGCAGGCAACGTAGGGAAGGGAGGACGGGGGTTATAATGACCTCAGGCTGTCTCCGTTTCTAAATTCCCACAATGTCATATTACTGAGAAACAGGCTTAAAGATGCTCCTCCCTGTGGGGCTGAGAGTCAGCTGCACTGACGTACCAATAACTGCTTTATTCACTGCTTCATTCGCGCTGTCCCCTGGTGCTCTGCAGGAGGCGCATGAGCTGGGAGGGCTGAACGTAGCATCTTTACAGAGCGTTTGCGCTGGGCTGCTGTGCACAGCCGTGCTGGACACCTGCCTTGAAATTCAAACCCATCCCCAATACGTCTTGAAAATTCAGGACTCGTTGCAAAGCAGTCTTAATTGGGACCATTCAGAATTCTGAAAATGTTTATTTTGGTAAGGACAGTCATAGCAGTGAGCTACAAAGCACCTGTTATGCCTATGCACCTGCTAAAAGAGAGGTATGTCATAGGATGACAAATATTAATTTTGGAGGATATTAATACTCCATAAATAATACAGACTTGCTAGTTTTTGTTTGTTTGTTTTGTTTTGTTTTGTTTTGAGCCATAGGTTTACATGAGCTCTCTGAGAATTAATTAAATTTGTAGAGTTTTAATATAATACAATTTAAAATCTCTGAGTTGTCTCAAATACTGCCTGCTGACTGGCCCTGGTGAGGCAGAAAAACATGCCTGTTGTAAGAAGGAAAATGCTAAGACTATTTATTTAAATCTGGGGTGAAAGAACTGGTGACAGGAATGCAGTAGAGCTGTGGATGTAGCTCAAGCTTCTGATCTGATCCCTCACTCCCACGGCTGATGTCTCACAAGTCCGTGACTTGCCCCTTGCCCCTGCTGCCTGGCACTGGGGCTCTACCACTGTGGATGAGGGCCTGTCCCAACAGTGTAGGCAGCCACAGTCCTCCCCGAGCACAGACTCATGGACTGGTGCTCTGTTACAGCCCAGGTGATCCTTAACGCTGCAGGGAACTGTGCTTGTAAATCACAGATCTAGTTTAGTTAAGAGTGACAAACACATCCGTGAGCCATGCTGTGCACACGTGATTTGTCAGTTCAGAGGGGCAGTCAGGTGTATTACTGTTTCTTTTGGCTTAAAGGAAATTTATAAGTGAAGTCACTTGCTGCACCCACCCTTGGTTTTGTTTGCTGACCATCCTGAGTAGGAGATTAGATATTAAAGCAGAAGGGTTTGTGCAAGAGCCCAACAATGCTGGGAAGTAGAAACACAAGTGTTCGACCTCATTACCCACAGCTGAGTGGGGCCTTTGGGAAGCAGCTCAGAGCTTACAGTCATGGAATATGAAATTGTTCTCTTAGTGTTCCAAACCACAGCGTTTCGAATCATTATAGCAGGAATTGCCTTTGTATTACACTGAGCTGACTGGTCATCTGTGACAAAGCATTAGTTAAAAAATGGAATGCCACACTGCTGGGAGAAAGTGCACATGATTCAAAGGCGTGTGAAAGGCTCTCTTGTTCTCTATGCTAGTCCTATCTATGGGCACAACCCATCCCTTCCTTGGTTTCGACCAGATTCCAGGGCTGCTTTTGCTGTCTTATACTGCCACGGCCTGTGCACACAAATGGCAGCAAAGAGCAGCTGTGTTCTGTTTGCTTCTGTTTTTGTTTTGTTTTATTGTTACTTTCTTGTCAAACCTCACAACAGAAACAGGACTGGAGAGTCTGGAGCTATTCTGTGTTGTAAACCTCACTCTGCAAGTGTCTGGAAGCACAAAACACGGTCTGAACCTGAAGAAATTGCATCAAACCCCCATGATGATGATTAGTTATTGAATTGTGACTTCTTTGTTTTGTTTCGCTTTGTTTTAACTGCAAGGCTCTCAGGCTAGAAAATAACCCATTTTCATGAAATTCACCTGGAAGTCATAGAATGGCCTGGGTTGAAAAGGACCACGATGATCATCGAGTTTCAACCCCCCTGCTGTGTGCAGGGTCTCCAACCACCAGACCAGGCTGCCCAGAGACACATCCAGCCTGGCCGTGAATGCCTCCAGGGATGGGGCATCCACAACCTCCTTGGGCAATGTGTTCCCAGTGTTCCCAGAGTGAATCAACACCCTCTGTGTGAAAAACTTCCTCCTAATATCCAACCTAAATCTCTCCTGTCTCAGTTTAAAACCATTCCCCCTTGTCCTAGCACTATTCACCCTTGTAAACAGTTGTTTGCCTCGCCTGTTTACAAGCTCTCTTCAAGTACTGGAAGGCCACAATGAGGTCTCTCCCGAACCTTCTCTTCCCCAAGCTAAACAAGCCCAGTTCCCTCAACCTTGGCTCATTGGAGAGGTGCTCCAGCCCTCTTACTGGCCCTCCTCTGGACCTGCTCCAAGAACTCCACATCCTTCCTGTGCTGAGGGCCCCAGACCTAACTTCAGGGCAAAATGCTTGTGGTTTGGTTGTATTTTTGGTCTGGGTACATTCAGATTCCATGTGTGTTAGTACTCAAACACTGTGGATATATGCTAATGCTAGTGTTTCACGCTGCCAACCAGTGACACGGTAGTGCCTGCTCCAGTCAAACTGAGTGACAAGGCAGAGCAGGAGCAGTCTGGGCAAGTGCTGTGTTGGTGGTGTACATCAAGCAGAATGAGTAAGAGCTGTGGCTGAACCCCAGCCATGTTCAACATGTGGCTTCTAAAGTTGTCAGCCAAGGGACTCAAGTAATTCTTAAGTAATGCTTTTACCTGCTATTGTGCAGTGTGTGTCTGAAGTAATTTTATTTTGCTCTTACTGACATGTAGCAATGAACACAGGAGGTCTTCATTTCTGCCATTTCTAGCATTAACACTGGAATACTGTCATCTGTGCTGAGCACCTTCTCAAGAGCTTACTGCCAGCCAACACTGCCCCTTTATCTGCACCGAGCCTTTCACCTGCTGGTAGTCACGTAAGGCTGTGCAGGACACAGTGTTCACTAAGTTCTCACCTTCATCACAAAAAATGTCATTTGCTGTCGTTGTTAGGCACACCTAGGTCATGGTGACGGTTGGTCAGACTCTGATTTGTCCTTCAAACAAGATCACAGTACACGCACCAAGCAACTCCGTTCCTCCCTGTGGAATCTGGCGTACAATCATTTAAAACCCCAGGAATGGAAAATACTGGCCCTGTTCTGGAAGTTCACAGATGAGCAGATTAAAGCTATTGAGGAACAATGGACAGGTAACAGCAGTCTGGGATGGACAGGCTTAAGTTATACAAACCGTGTCAAAGCATGAAGCTATTTTAAGATCTATTCATACTGGATTTATTTATTAAGCCTTAGGATATTTATTAATTATCATTATATTTATTATTTATTATATATTATTATATATACTATATTTATTATTATTAACCTTTACTTCTCAGTCTTCATTTCGCTTCTAGATGGGGGAGGAAGTGAGAATGAATGAGCAGGTTTTAAAAGTCTCTTGGATGTGCAGAAGTGTAAAAGCACAAAACAGCACTTTTCCAGCAAGTCAAACAGACTTGATTTGTGTATTCCATAGGGAAGAAAAGTTATAAAGAACACGGCCACAGAATGCTGCTGATCTGGTTACATGGTACTTTGTTGGCCCATCAGAATCCTGTCAAGCATATATTCAAAGACTTGGTGGAAGCAGGATTTCAGCATTTAGCTGGTAAGTTTTTTTGTGGCATAGAGAGCATTTACCCAAGTGCCACGTGCTGCTGAGCTCCCAGCCTGTGCTGGGAAGTTGTGACTGTGGTAGAGGGGGAGGACACTCCTCTCTGGGAATCTGCCCTTGCAAGGGGCTGGAGCTGGTCAAGGAAGAGAGTTTAAGCAAGACAAGTTTTCTGAAGGAAGAGAGAAATACACACACTTTGCTCCCTTCCTTTGTCTTACAAACACCATCAAAATGTGATCGCCCACTCCTTCATTGAGATAAGTGCTGGCCATGTAAAATCTGTGCATGTCAAGCAAACATTTTCTCATCTTTCTTTATAGAGAAGATCAGAACTGAAAGTAGCACTGACATGGAGTCCAGAAAATGTGAAATTTCATGAGTTCATTGATAAATGGCATATGTGATGGAATTACATGCCAGCTGGAGAGACTTTCATATACAAATATCTTCTCTAGAAATGAAAATGTATTTTGAAGCTGCAAGCTAGAAGAACTTGCTCTCCTGAAATACCGGTTATTCTTTGCAATACAATGATCTAAAGTGAATGCCTAGATGGTAATTTAGGACTATATTGTCAAGCAAGAGCCACCCTATAATTTCTGCGCCTGCCTTAACATCGTGTAGTAATTCTTTATCAGAACTCCCCACTAAAGCTACATTGTGTTTGACCTAAAATGTAAATGAGACATTTTCTTGTTGAAATAAATTTAATAAGTGAAAATTGGGTGTATAAATCAACACTTCCCAAAATAGGTTGGCATCTCACCTCATTTGGAATTCAGGTTTTTATAGTCTTGTTAGGATTACAGTTTTCCTATCTGAGACTTTCTTGCCTCTTCAGCATTTGATTCATATAGTAAAAATATACAAAAATAGCATCTAAAACCATCTGCAACTAGCTACAGAATTTTGTCATGGCATAACCTTGTTTACACACTCAAAAAAGAATATTTGTTAATTTAATACTTTACATATATATTTTTAAACATTTTTAAACCTTGTTTATTCCTTGAACTATATTTGGTGTTTCTTGGATAACGTTTACAAGTTTTCTGACTAGTGAATGCATTTCACATCTGAAAAATGATGTACAATGTCTGTCTTCATACTCCTATGTGTAACACAACAGCAGTTTTATCATATAATGGAAGTACTGAGGTATTGCTTTACCTACCGCTGCATACCCAGCATCTTTCGGTACTGGACTTCAGTGTTTGCATACAAAGCTGGTAATCTGAGGTCTTAGTGCTCTTTCACATTCAAGCCGTTCTGACAAGGCTGCAGAACTATACAGAAGACGGAAATTGGTAAATCCCCAGGTTTTAGAATCTGGGACCTAAGTTAAAACACAAACTCTTACATCCTGTCAGGCATGCATCAACATTTTGCAAAATGAAAATGCTTGACAGTTTGCTAGACTCGAGGTGTGTAACCTGACTTATGTCATATCCTGGCTGTGGAGGCCACTGCCCTATTGTCTGTTATTCTTTGTTTAACCAAGTCAGCTACATTTAGTAAAAGCAGAGATAACAAAAATAAATTTCATTTGTACTTGAAAATAAATGCACTAGCATTTATACTGAAAGTAAACAATTCGGACAAATGTATTTTATTCTTTATTTGAAAATGTGCAAAAGATTCTTTATTTAAATAAAGTGTTTATCTTAATAACCAAGTTTTCAAATAGGAGGTAGAATAACATTTCAAGGTCGTTTTCCCCTCCAGAAGCTTTCTGCAAACACTTTTTTTTTGTTAAAAGGGCTGAAAACATGATGCACACTGTAGGTCTTGCTACGTCAAGCTTTGAAAAGACTGGGAAGAGGTTTAAATTACTTATCTTGATAAAAACCTCCACCAGTGAAAGATATTTACTCAGTCAACAACTTTTATTGACTGAACGCTGGTATGAGTTTGGCTCTGAAGCATTCGCCCAACTTGTCCTGCAGGTCTCACAGTTGTAGAACCAGAAGTAAGGAACACAGTTCGAGGATATTTAGCAGCAGTGGCTTGGGATATGGTTTGCTGAAAAGTAATCAGACACCACAGATCTTTAAAGAATGCAAAACAACCCAACTCCATTCAAGTAACTGTAAGCAAACTGTAGTTTAAAGGGAAAGATTCCTAATACAAACTGAACTACACACAAAAAAAAAACAAAATAAAATGGGGTAACTATTTTTTTTTTATTTCCTTATGTAATATACTTAGAACATAAAGTGCTAAGCTTCCAGTTAACCATAAACCCTGAACTTGATCACCTTGATCTACATGATCTAATTTCAAGAGTTATTGCTTTTAAAGCTCATTCAAAATATTCCTTTGCAGTTCTAATGTAATAACACCAACACTCCTTTTATATTCTGATAGCATTTGCTATCAGAAAGTTGAATTGGTTTCTGAATGGAAAAAGCTTGCATTTACTTAAGAAATAAATTTCTCCCCTCAAGCTAGACTTCTTACTGCAATATACAGTAAATATATACAGTATATATATGCAAAAACTGTTCTTCTCTTAATCAAGGTAGGCTCTGTCAGATGACAAGAGAAATACTTGAGTCTGGTTGATGTGCATTTAGACTTTTATTTGCAGGATAAGGCACATATTTCTGGGAATGTCTAGGAATACAGAGACATTGTCTGAGCAGCCAGAGATCAAGCAGAGATGAAATTAAATCTGTCCATGGACAACAAAGGCAACAAGAAGGGCTTCTTCTCAGTGACAAAAGGAAGATTAGGGAAAATATTAATCTCTCATGAAGGAAACGAGACCTGCTGTTCTGGGGCAGTGAAAAGGCAAGGTATGAGTGCCTTCTTTAACAGCAAGTCTGGCATTTAAGAATCCTAGATCTCAGAGGCCAGGATGAATGGCTGAAGCAAGGAAAATGCACCTTTGGTAGGAGAGGATCAGGTAAGGGAATACCTGAGCAAACTGGACAAACTCTACAGGTCCTGGTAGGCTGCACCGACAAATACTGAGGGTATGGGGGTATGAAGAAAGGCTGAGAGAGCTGGGGCTGTTCATCCTGGAGAAACGAAGGGTGAGGAGGGATCTCATCAGTGTTCATAAATACCTAAGGTAAGGGTGCAGAGAAGATTCTTTTCATGGTGCCCAGTGCCAGGACAAGAGGCAGTGGGCACAAAGTGGAATTGAAGAGGCTCTGTCTGAGCATTAGGCAGCTCTTCTGTGCTGTATCAGTGACAGAGCACTGGCACCAGCTGCCCTCAGAACCTGCAGACCCTCCTCTCTGGAGATCTCGAAATGCCACCATGACAGAGGCCTGGGAATCTGCTCCAGGAGTCCCTGATTGAGCAAGGTTGGACCCAGCGCCTTCCAGGGGTACCTTCTAACCTCAACCATTTTGCAACTTTGTGACTGCATTTTTAAAAGGCAGGCTTCGGAGCAATAGTGACACTAGTCATAGACTCTGAATTCTTAAAAAGTTAAAACCCTTTTTTGCTCAGACTGCTCTAAATGCATAGTGACAGACTAAGTGATTTGGGCTACCATTTACAGTCACCTTTTATATTGCTTTCATACCCTATTAATGCACTTGTCTCAGTATTTCTTCAGATAAGTGGGGGAAATAAAAGGATACAACAAGAAGCAGGCCAGATGAACTTTGTTGCCTCTTGATAAAGATTCTGCTTTTTTCTCCAATAATTTGCTATTCTCAGCTTGCATGGTATCTCTACCATGTTTGAAATGATTGCTCCACTGCAAAGCTTGTCTTTAAATGGCAGCCGTGTGATGATATCACCTAACATTGTTGGACCAGCTACGGACAGGAAGACTCACTGAAGAGTTGGACAAGAAAGAGATTATTATGCCTATGAACAAAATATGATAAAAGAAGTAAACACTGCCACTTCACCTTACTCTGTTATTCTGTCCAGCTCCAGTACTGCATATTGTTTTAAAAAGCACTCAAGTCTAATTATCTATCTCTTCATGGTGATCATCTTTATTTATACAATATAATATTAACAACACTATTGCAAGCATAGTTCTGACTTACCTGAGTGACTGGATGATGTTTTTCAACAATGACCGAACTCATGGGTGGAGCAACTCCCATCACTGCTAAACTACCACAAATTCTGTGTTTCTGTCCCATATCACATCTGCCTGTGATTCGAGCAGTGATTGTTCTCCCTGCCTTCTGTTGAGCAGATGTTATTACTTTTGCCATGGGCTACAAATAAATTAGATATTAGTTAGCAAAATTTCTAAGCATCATATTTACAATGTTTTAGTTTTCTGCTTATGTTTATTAGCTGCTTGCCTAACATAACATAGGAAACTGCATGTAGTAACTTATGTTACACATGGGACGGAAGTTGCACCTCCTATTTGTAACCTAGTTAATTCTGTCTTTTTCCACAGAGATGTTTTTTAGTGAAGTGACTACTGATCTGAGGGGGGTAAGGCTAATTTGACAAAAATCAATCTGCACGGGTAGTTTAGCTTTGCTCACTGGCAGCATACTCCAGTGATAGCTGCAGGCACTTTCATCACCCTGACAAGCCTTTCCAGCAGTGACACAGCAGATACAAGAACACTTCTAGGTGATAGAAAGTTAGATAGCTAGATAGATAGAAAGCAGATAGCTGCTGATTGCTAGCAGCAAATTGCATCAGATGGAAAAAGAAAAGGAGAGCAATGCAGAGCAGCCTTGAGGAAATCTAAAAGTACTGTTTAGTAACAAATACAGAAAAGAGAATGAGAGAGACATATTAAATAGCAGGAGGCAAAAGCAGACCGTATTTTTTTCCAGAACAAAATGGTACCATGTGAAACACCAATTGTTCCTCTTGTATTATACCCAAATGCACATGCACTTCTCTTACTCTTTGTCACTCCAAAAATGAGTTAAAGCTTATCCTAAAAGGGTTTTTCCATCACATTAGCAAGCATTCACAAGACACTGTCTTCACACACGTAACTGAACTCTATGACAGTTTTCTCAACTACACACTTGAGCCTCTCTAAAAAAGTGGAAACTAAAAATTTGTTATAATTGCCTTAAAAAAAAGTCAGTCTGAGCATGTTACCAATTTCTGAGTTGATGCCAGCCCAGATCCTGCAGCTGTGCCAGGGATGATTACTGGAGAATCAGAATCTAGCCTTGTCTGAGAAGTGCTTGCATGACCCAGGTGAGTAGAAAACTGTTAATTGAATTGAAAGAGTTTAAAGAATGAATACAATGTTCCCGAAAATACAGTTTTGCTCTTTAGATAGACAGTCTATTGACTATTCCACTTACCTTTCTAAATTCAAGCTTTTTTGCAGATTTTGCAGTACTATTTTTAATGTTTTGTTGTTGGTTTTTTTTTTGCTGATTTAAAAATCCTTTTTAAAAAAATACTTGTCTAAAAGTTCATGGAAATTAAGTGACTAACATTTGGTACTGTTAGAATGGAAAACTGGGTAAAGAGGCAAGCATGTCTTCTCCCTGTTCTAGTGTGGAACTGTCTTACAGCAGCAGTGTCTTCAGCATAACTCCAGGGCAGGTCTAGAATTTCCAGGCTACTGGATAATAATCTGGATAAGCTGACATGACAGGACAATAAGATAAGTTTTTCCTCAGTGACTACACATGTTGCATTTTTTAAAAAGAAATTTAATGTCAAGCTAACTTCCATTTTTCCCCCAGAGAATAGTAAGCTCAGTTCTTTCTTTTTGGCAAGCCACTCTAACAGTTTCTTTTTTCAGTAGAAACC